TCGGAGGCCCCCGGACCCCGCGGGGTGTCCCCGAGGCGGTGTCGCCCTCAGCGGGCGCGGGGAACCCACTTCCGGACCCCGAACGCGCTTCTGAGGCAGCGTTTAGTTCCTCGGCTGCCTGTAGCCCCATTGTGAGCGCTTCTCTTCCCCTCGTCCCGGGCAGCCGCGTGTGCACAGCAGCCATCCAGCCATCGCGCGGGAGCGCGGTTCTGAAAGCGGTAGTGCAGTCCGTAAATGTAGGAAAACACACGGGAAGGCTTCTGTGACATTCTGGCTTTTACCTGCTTTTTAACAGGACTGTGGAACAGGCAATGTCTGTTCCACTTGTAAGCAACTTTAAATCATTAATTTTTGGCACTAAGATGTAATAGTTTAAGAGTTTATGTCCGATATTGTATATTCTATCTCAGCATACAGGAGTGACACAGCAGCCAAGAAAGGCAGGAAAGCAGGTTAAAACTTGCAGCCCTACGACCTTAGCAGAGCACTGCATGAAACCGTCTTCTCATTCCTTCTTAGATTTTCCAACAACTTCTCTAGTAACGTTATGGATCAGAAAATGGCCTGCATACCTATGGAAAGACCGACTTTCTTTGATATGTTTAAGGCACGCTGCAGTGAAGCAGGTACAGCTTTTCTGCAGTAAATAACTAGTAGGGTTGCTTTCTATTTATACATATGTGCTGTATGTTGTACATTCCATATACAAGTGTAAGGCATAAAGTTAGCATCTTTACTTGCCCCCAGTCTGTATTCATTAATATTTAATTTTTTTTTTTTTTTTAAAGAAGTATCTTTTTCCATAGTGTGTGCTCCTTTATTTTTTGTACCTTTTTTTCTTTTTAGTGGCTTCCTTAATGTATCCATATGCAGGCCAGGTTTTGTCTTTTGTCAAATGCACCTGTAGTTGTATGGTTTATTAATGTTAGAAGGAACCCATTTAACTTGACAGTCTGGGTAAAATGAGAGATAAACTATACTTTAAAATTAAAAGAAAAGGAATTTATCTGCTCTTCCATTAGATTTGTTAATGGTCTGAGAATTTGGGTTCCTTTATACTTTGTGGAGGAATTCAAAGCTATCTGGAAACAAAACAAACAGGAGTATGACAATGGAAGGAACATTGTGTTTTGCTGCTAGCATTTAAATGCCTAATGTGTTTTCACATCCTGCAGGGAGGATCCTTTTTCTCCCCTCTCTTTTTTTTTTTCTTTTTACCTTTTTATGTGTTTTTCTGTATATTTCTCTCCGTAGACTTAGGGCCCATCAGTCTAAACTGGTTTGAAGAACTCACTGCAGAAGCACCCCCATATGAGCCTAAATTGTTAGGAGAACTTGGTGGCCCCTCTGTCTGCCCTGATCAAACACCTTTTAAGACTCCAAGGGCAAAACCCTCCCCATACAGTCAGCTGGCATCGACCCCGCTCATTTTTAAAGAAGAAAATACGATATTGCCACCTTATTCTTCTCCTGGAAAAGAGCTGGATCAGAAAAAAATAGGAGCAAGTGAGTAATTTTTATAAATAAATGTTGTAATAATTAACTGAACCTTGTGATAAACTGGTAATGTACTCACAAAGTTCCCTCTAGAAAATATTCTCGTAATAGTCTAAAGTCAATTAATGTAAGGAGCAAATGAGGTTTTTTTTGCTGTAACTTGGTGAAGGAGAATCAGAGTGAATTTCTTTAGCAGTGTGATTTTTGTTTTATCCAAAATCTCTGAAAATGTTTTCAAGAGAGAGAATGATGCTTACCATACTGAAATATGAGGCAATCTTTTTGGCACTCCTTAATGGTTCTTAGAAAGATTTCAAAGCACGAAGCTCTTGGAGTTAGTAAAACTGTAAGTCATGGAAAGAAGTTACACTTTCCTGTTTGGAGACAAGGAGTTCTACTGCTTTTCTGAGGTACTTCTCACTATGTTATCTCCATGAAACAACTTCCTATGTCATGAAAGTACGTGTCACTCTGCTCCTTTGATGACCTGCAAGCTGTAGTTCCTGTCCTCCTCAGAAGGTCTTTTCTGTGCATGATCATATGTAACTCTTTTCAGTGGAAGAATATCTACCTCTGTTCCTGCAGTTTCTGGTTGTGCCCACTTGTACTCTGTACTCTCCTAACAGTAAAAGAAGCTTGTTTGAACAGGTTGCAGGTAAACACAAGACTCCCTTTGTTATCAGAATTGTTCTTGGATCCTAAAACAGTCTTTAAGGGTGTAGAACTGTGTTACTGTTTAGATATACTTTACACCATTGCTTCCATAGAATATTGATGCTATGTTTGGTTCTCTGAAGTGTATTGATGAACTTCTGCTCAACTTATTCTCAGCTGAGAACATGTTTCTTCTATATGTAACCATTTGGACTCTTACAGTGTTAAGTCCCTAGTGAATTTTTGGTAGCATTTCATAAACTGCAAACAAAGGAACCTCAAATGGTTACTCTTGCTCTGTGCTTGTGCCTGTGGATGTTTGTATACACTCCCTAAAGAAGGGAAAATAGCTCTTGCCAAAGCTTCTGCAGTTACCTGTGGCTGGCCTGAGAACCTATTCTAGTTTTCTTGTTTAGAGCCAACTGGATCATGTACCTTGGTTTCCTTCTTGTGAAAAACCAAAAGCATGGATAGAAGCTGATGGATTTCATCTTGTTATGGTACTGGGATGCAGCCGTGCTGTGCGTGTGGGCTCAGGAAGTGAGAAGCAGAGAGAAGTGCAGAAAGCTGGGTGGAATTTCTTATAAGGAAGTTGGACATTTCTGAGCAGGAATTCCTTTGGGTAGTTGCTTGTTCGTGTGAGGTGCTCAACTGTTCAGAGGGTTCTGCTGCTTTGGTGGTCATGCTCTTTGTCTTCTGCCTGGAGATGTGAAGCATATAAATACTTACTATTACCAGTGCTAGTGACTCCACTAACAGCTCCAGAAATAAATATTTGCTTTATCCCGCTGCTTATTCAGATCAAGAAGTGTATGTCCTGAGCAAAACTGAGGGAAGGCTGGAACAAATGCTTGTTTGCATGTGTTGAGTTTCTCCTAAGAATAACTTCTGCAGTGACAGGAAAGGCACACTGCAGTATTCTAAAACTGAAGTGGAATATGCCACTTAAATGATATCAAGGAAATACGCTGACATACGTGTATATCAAGTCAATAAAGTGACACAGTGAACATTTTTGGCTGTGCATTTGAAATGTTTGGCACTGTTTGTATACAGAATTTGCACATGTTCAAAATATTAGAGGAAAAGGTATTGTTTTGTTGGGTTTTTAAAATTAAAAATCAGACATTGCATAATTTAACTACTTTTTAAGATTATCTTTAAACTTTTCAAAACTGTTGCTCATAGTACAAGTTGTGTTGATTATTATCTTCTGTGTTGTAGGTGGGGAGAATTTGTTCAGCCCAAGTATCACAAGAAGAAAAACAGATGAAGAAAATGAAATGCTTGTTTCCCCTCCCAGCACCTGCCAGAACTGCCTTGCTGCTAGGTATGCTAAATATGTCAACAGAAATATAAAATGAATGGGATTTTAAGCAAAAAGAAGTAATAAACCCATGTATTTTACTGATAGACTTCTTCTGAGCAGCCAGTAACCTCATATGTCTTGTATATAAATAAAAACACTAGCCACTAGCTGATTTGGAAAACGTCTTTGCTTTTAGGTGTCCTGCCTTGCTATTTTTCTACTCCTTCACAGCTGGCATATGGCATCATTCACATGACTTCAGCTTCCCAAATCTGATCAAAGTACTCATGTTGATTAGAAAAACTGTTAAACTAATTATTTAATTAAAAAGTTAAGCTAATTTCCATAGTTTCATACAGCATATTAAGAAATACATGATTATATTGAAATCTATTATACTGTCAGACAAATCATCACTGAAAAAATCATGTTTCATAAAAGAAGCATTTTTATAATTTGTAATAAACGTATGATAAAGTCTAAAATACTGACTGGTGGCTAGGAGAAATCTGTTTTACTCAGCCAGGGAAATAATCATGGTTGCAAAGGAAGAAAATAATGGAGCTGGTAATATATGTAGTGGCTGAAATATTTACTACTTTTCAGAAATTGACAAGTGAAATTAATTTTTTAATTTGATTTTGTTTTGCAGTCCAGCTATTTTAAGGAATACTTACAGAACACCTCAGAAAAATAACATGCCTGGTTTGTATTTTCACTTTCTAGTTTTACAAAATATCTGATATCTATAGATATAAATCCTTATATATTAGGTATAATTTAATGTTCTTGTTACATAATGTTTTTCAGGGCCATATGGAAGCTTGTTTTGCACACCAAAATTTCTGCAGGTAAACTTTTTATTCCTGCATTTTGTTCATTTGTTTGTTTTTTTCCCAAGTAGTATATTTAGAATTCTGCATAGAAATAATAATTGTCAAATATATTTCTAGATCAGAACTCCAAAACGTATTTCCGAGAGTCTGGGAGCAGACGTGGATACAGACATGTCCTGGTCAAGCTCTTTAGCCACACCTCCTACACTTGGTGCAACAGTCATAATAGGTAATTCTGAAAATTAGCAACTGCTAAGGGTTAAAAGCCTCTGCTTTTGCCAGTGGGAGTTCGCTCAGTGTGTTAGGTAATGATTGCTCTCCTCAGCACACACAGGCTGTTGAGTGAACTTCCCTGCAGCAGTGCTGGCTTCAGCCTCTCCAGCCCCTCTCACAGTGCCACTGAGACCCATCCAGGGGAAGACCTGGACGTCTGCCCATCTCCTGACATTGCTCTTCTTAGTGTCCTTAAACTCTCAAAAGCACATAGAGCACGTGAAGAATGCATGCTAGATTTGGGAATCTCTTGAGTGAGGGAGGGAGAGGTGCTGTTCACAGGGCTACAGAGTTGTGCCAGTTTGGGTGTTCTTGGGTTCAGAATTTTGTGACCCAAAAAGGAAGACTGGTGGAAGTATCCATGGCTTAATGGTGTTCTGGGAGATGAGTTGTGGTTTGAGCTCTCATTCTTCCACTTCCCAGATGAGCCCAGCATGGTATAGTGGTGGTGCCCACTTGCTGACATCTGGCACCTCTGAAAGGACAGTGTGAGTCATTTGGCTGCAACATGGAACCTAGATGCCATGTCTGTCAAACGTGTTATTTGAATATACTGCATTTTAGGCATCTTAATGGTAGGGTTCACTTGTAGGTGGAAGGATATTGCTACTCTTGTGGAAGGAAATGGTGGGGGAGGACAACAAGTGTCTCATCCAGATGCTTTTACAGAAAAAAACAACACAGAGTAGTGCCATGAATAACTGCTGGAGAGGGGAATGGCCAGTGATGGTGGGCTCAGGGTGGTAACTGATCTACCTACACAGCAGAAACCACAACCTAGGATTTATTTAGGCTTTATGCTGTGAGGAAACTGCATTTGTACACTGTCCCTCAGCCTCACCCGTTGAACTTTTTAGTTAGAACTTTAAGTTTGTTTTTAGTAGGTCTTTGTTTACAGATTTCAACTGCATTTAAACTAATCCAATGAAAACCCTCCCAAAACACACATGTATTTGAACACAGCAAATCACTTAGGAGCAAACAAATTGACTTGTTTGTCTTTCTTCTAAAGCTAGAGAAAATGATTCTATTTCTGGAGCAAAGCAACAGGATGAAAGAGCTGAGACAGTAAGTAGTTTCAAGAGCTATGCTGTTTTTTCATTTCAGTTAAACTTTTCAGTTCCATGTTTACATTCCATAAGCCAAGAATAAAAAATTCTGTAACTTTCATTCTAGGTCCTCCTATCTGGCTATTTTTTAAAGTTACTGCTCACAAAACTAAACTTGGAAAACTTGAAACTTGCAAACTTGCCTGACTCTAGACTGTATTTTCAAATAACTCACTTTGAGGAATATTTTTGCTGCATATAAAAAAAAAAAGATGCCAAACTGACTTGGATTCAGCAGCAGTGGGAGTCATTCAAAGAGAAATCAAACCTAGGAATTGCCATATGCTACTTTTCTGAGGGTTGCTTGGTTGGTTTTTCTTCCTCCTGTGTCAAAGTTTTGGGAGTTAACTGTTTGGCAACATCTTCTTGTGCTCAAACATTATACCAAGAGTTGAAATTTAGTATTAATTTCAGTCCTTTGATAGTGTTAGGGTTCTTGCATAATTCTGTGTATGAAAGATGAGTGGGTTTTTTCAGACTGAAAACTGAGGATGATGCTAGTGGGATTCAATTACAAATTTACATTTCACTACCTGAAACTTCACACTTAACAAAAGGTTATAAGTTAAAATAAGCAAAAAGTCTTTCTTCTTCCTCATATCTGCTTTGTCCCTTTTTGAGAGGCTGGCTTACAGTAAATTGCTGAACCCATTCGCTGCCATTAAACTGACTGTAGAATGGAGCTTGTTTTGCATTGAAAATGAGGATTTTCTGTTTATTTTCAAGTGCACCTGTGAAAATATTACCTTTCATTTTGAGAGGTGCAGAATTATTCAAATAGCACAGTAAATGTTGTGTTTTACTGTTCAAGTGACACTTACTGGTGGGTAATGTAGCAGCTTGGGTCTTTGGTTTACAGATTTCGCACAACACTTCTTCCAACCACGATGAATGTCCTGGGATGAGTGATACAAGTATGCTGTTGGTACCAGAGACAGCAAAGCTGACTGCTGAGGATGACATCAAAGATTTTGGTATGCATTGATACTCTACTATGGAGTATATTGTGAAGCAAGACTGAGGGGAAAGTTACATTTTATGTCCTGACCTGATCCTATGGCTTATTTCTGCTGCCAGCTGTGTACTCCCACTTCCTGAGTTGATTCAACTTTGTAACACTAATCAGGCCATCAAAAAGGGAACTGGTTTCTGTTGAGGCAGTGAATTAAATCAGGCTGCTGTGCACTGGATGACAACCAGATTGGTACTGATGTAGGTGAAGGTGTGAGACTGTATGGAGAGCTGAGCAAGAGGAATGCTACAGGCTCAAGGGGGAGCAAGACTACTGTTTCTGGCTGTTGAATAGGTTTAGCTTTGTCATGAAGTTTCAATCCCATGCTCATTATTCTGTGGTGAGCTTGTTTTTTAACAAGCCATATCCTTTCTTCATTTACTTCACCTATTAGTACTTCAAAATGTGACAAATCTCTTAGGTGAAAGTGGTGTTCTCTTTTTTTAATGCAGAAGATACTCAGTTAAGGGAATTTTTTTGTTCTGTATTCTCAGAGTGTGTTAGTGAACAAGTGAAAATGGATGCTCTAGTGGGAGGGGTTTTTTTATTTATTTATTTTTAGAAATGATGGCAGAAGGGAAGAATATTAACAGAAATTTATTCAGCGTGCTTGGGTGTAAAAGGGAATCTGTAGAGACTGACACAGGCTTAGACAGGATAATATATCCTTAGGATCGTATGTCTCCTTATCTGCATTAAATGAATTGCCACAAAAATATTGTTTGGTGTTGCATGTAAGAATTGTGAAAGAAGTGGTTTAGAATTTGATGAGGAGGGCTGGAATGCTGGGGGTCAGAAGGCATTGTTGCTTGCAGAGGGATGCATACTGCTGTGTTTATATTATAGGTTCAAACATGCTGAAAAAAGAAAGAGTTGGTAGTTAACATACTCGAGCAATCTGTAGGCAGTGAAATGCTTACAGAAATGAAGGACAAATTAAGATCTAATGTTTAAACCTTTCTTTTTCTTGAGCATTGTATTATTTGCCCAGAAGCTCTTCAGAAAAAACTTCCTAATAAATTAAAAACTGAAAATCTTTTCTAAATCCTTCTAGACACTATACTATTCTATATCAAACGAAAAGATAGTTTAATAGAATCATCCTTAAATAACAGTTTCCTTAGCTGCCAGTTATAGACAAAAATAGGCAGTTTCTTAAGGTGCTTAGTGCCTACCATCTGGTATAAATTTTAGAGGAAAAAGTTCTAGAGATTTATCTTGTAAAATTTTCTACTCCTCCTGTCAATAGAAAAAAAAATTCTTCTGAGACAACTAGGTTTTCATCTTGGAAACCTGCTTAATATGGAGTGCTCAAGAGGCCAGGGCATCTGTGTGGATGTCCTTTGCCTCCTGTCTCCAAGAGCTGCTGTTGGAGAGTAAACGTCTTTAGAGACATGTACATTTATCTTTCCAAATTCACTCCTGAGTGAAGGTAATTGCCATAAAATTGAAAGCTGTATTTGGCAATAAAAACACAATGTCTTTCCAGAGTTATTTCCTAAAACTTAATTTTTACTTCTTTTCCTTTCCTCATCATCTCTAAACTCTTAGAGTCGGAGATGTTAGATGGCTTATTTGGTGAGATGAGCAGCCTTGAGGACACATTCAACATGCCTGCTGAGTCCTGTGGAACTCTTGTGTTGATGCCACGTGCTCTGGATGCAGCAGAGAAATGTGAAATGAACACAGCTGAAGCACAAGGGAAGAGGGAAGTTCCTTCTGAGCAGCCCACTGGAAGAGAGGCTGGTGCTTCACAGGAAGTGAAAACAAGCAGCTGCGCTGAAAAAAGCCACTCTGCTGAAACGAAGAATCCTTTACTCCAAAGCACAGATGAAGATCCAGGGGATGATGAAGAATGCTGTTTAATAGGACATGAAAAGGAACTGGAGTCACTTAGGATCACAGATGCGCAAGATTGCAGACATGGCAGAACACACAAATGCTCTGAGAATGAGAAACCTGTGAAAGATGATGTGCCACCTTCAAGCCAGTGGTCTCAGCTGAACTTATCTGATCTTGATGTGGCTCTCTTGGAAATGCCTATATGTAGCTCTCCACCCTCTGACTTATGCAGAGAGAGAAATTTAGAAAAGTCAGTAGTAATGACCAAGGGTGGTGCTGTGGAAACCTCTTTACTGGATGCTTCTAGCTTGGTAACAGCACAACAGCTGTGGAGTGTTGGTCTGTCAGAAAAGCACTGTGAAGTGAAAAATCCAGAAAACCCAGCAGCAGAAATCACTCCAGTAAAATCTGTATCTCTGAGCTCTCAAGATCCAAAGTTAGTAAAAGGATGTGCAGCTGAAAAGTTTTCCAAAATGAGCTTCTTTAACTGCAACTCCTTTTTAATCGAACGGACAAACGTCACGGAATACTCCATGGTCTACAGCGGCGTCTCTTCCAGGCGTGTAAAAACAATTTCTCAATCTGTCATAAGGGATGTTCTGACTCACCCACTCGTATGTGGTGCTGCCTCTCCAGATAACTGCAGTGACCCACATCTAACAAATAGTGAAAACACCCTTAAAAACCTGAATATGTTATCCAGCTTGAGAAAGAGGTCCAAGAGATTTATTTATACAATAAACAATACTTTACTGTTCCAAGAAGAGAAAATAGAGAAAGAAGTAACCTCTGAATTGCCTATTCATCCTGTATTACCACATCTGGAATCTGATTCATGTGAATTTAAAGGCTGTCATATGGCCGGTATTGATGAGCAAGGTATATTATTAAGTTTTTCATAATTTGTGGTGGATTCTGTATTTATTTAATAAGAAAATTTTGTGTAAGTGTTACAGATAAAATTGTGTAAAAACTTGTTTCAGATAAAGTAGCTCTGCAACTGGGAATCAAGATACAGAACTGGCCTGTTACAGTGATAGTGATATGATGGCATTATTTTCAAATAGTCTGGTGCTAACTTACTGTCTCAGTCTCAAATTAGTTTCTGGAAGAGAAACTTCCATCTTGAACCATTATTCTAATTGACAAGCTTAATTACCTTTGTCAGTGCTGTTGAAACATTCATAGTGTAAAGGGCCATCCTGTCTGAATTGATAACTTCTGAGAGATCAAAAAGAATGATAAAGTTGTATTGTTATTTTTCTAAAATTAGCTGGTTTAAGACTGTGTATGTTTCTTCCAGAAGCATAAAATATTTTACAAAACAAACTGTAAAATGAAAGCAAGCACATACTCATATTTTAAAAGCTGCATTTCTTGCCAGAAGAGTTATTTAATATTAGGAATTGAAGTACTTCTCTTTAAAGTTTGAAACAAATTCATATGTTGAGACACAAGGAATGGAAGCTCACCTCTTCAAGTTTCATTAAAACTAAAAATTTTTTTATTTTTTTTTTTAACTCATAGCATTAACTGTAGTCTGCTCACTTGTTTCTGGCTGTTAGTAAATGATTAAACAGGTCTCAAATCTTGTCAAGGTGTTCACATTTGAAAACAAAAGTGTTATTTATGGCACCAGTGTTAAGCCTGTGTAGAAATGATCCTTACGGGCCAAAATGTTATGAAAATTTGAATTTGCATTTGTATGAATAAATGACAACTACTTTATTAACATTTTTTTTTTTCTGTAATTTCTTTCTTGTAGGCTGCCTGCTTCTTGCTGAGAGAAAGCATTTGAAATCAAGTATCAAGGAAAATAATTTCAGCACTTGTACATTAAAAATGGATATTGTGGGTAACTCATCTGGTGACTCCTTCAGTGACCGGCTGAAGCAACAAGACCTGAAAGTCCTGGGGGAAAACGCAAGAGAGGAGCAACCTGCTACATCATTAAAAAGCTCAGAAGTATCTAGTACACAGAAAGAAGGAACAACAGATTCTTTAAACAGTGAAATAATTTCAGATATTAAACGTAAAGTCCTGGCTTCAGCATGCCTAATGGCAAGAAGGCGTTCCAGATTGCTCCCTAGAGGCTCTTGCTTAGAGAAAGGTGGGGGAGAGAGATGTGGGAGTGCTAAAGTGAACGGTGGAGCTGCTGCACCACGGAGCCTTAAAGGACAGCTTGTGTGGGCTTCTCCTGGGGATAATGAGCTCCTGATGGATACACACCATGGCAGTACCTCTGTGACACACGGCGGCCTCAGTAACAATTTGAGTCAGATCAACTTTGGCATAAATGGTGTCAGTAGTGATTGTTACAATAAAATGGCGACTGATAAAAGGCATGCTACAGACCAGTTGTCTGTAGCTGACTGTAGAGAAGTACTTGGACCTTTGGGAATAAACTGCTCCAAAAATGATAGTACTGGATTAAAACCAGAGGTCAAACCAGACGCAGCTGTTTCAGAAGTTGTAGCTGAAAACAGAGAGCCAAAGTCAGTTGTTAACAATGATAGCCCAGGAGCAGCTGCTAGCAGTTATGTAACTGTGGAGACTAATAAAGAATTGCTAGATTGCAAAGATGATAATTCTTTAAATGAAGTGATTTCAGAAGAAGATAAACGAGTAGCACCTGTGTATTCCAGCACAAAGTCAAAGGAGAACCTACAGCATAAAGGGAAATCATCAGGAAATCTGAATGCATGCAGTTTGAATCTAGGCTTTGGTGGCTTTCAGACTGCTTCCAATAAGCAGATTACATTCTCTGAAGTCAGTATAGCAAAAGGTAAAATGCTGTTCAAAGACATTGAAAAGGAATACTTTGAAGCCTCTTCTATGGAAAGAGTCAGAAACTTTTCAAATGAGGTTAAAAAGGAGAATAAGTTTTTCTCAGATTCAGAAAGCAAGATGGACAGTAATTTATCTGATTCTTTAGATTCTCAGACAAGTTTTCTGGAGCCCAGGCATACACAGATTATTCCATGTAAAGCTGGCTTGTATAAAAGCTTTCCTAGAAGTCAACAGTTCTTGCAAGGAGCAAACCAAACTTTGACAGCAAGCCAAGAAGCTGAAATTGCTGAACTTTCTAGTATCCTGGAAGAAACAGGGAGTCAATTTGAATTTACACAGTTTAGAAAGCAAAGTAGTGTGATAAGAAGCCATGCCTTTCAGCAGTTTGGGAGTGTAGAAACACGTGGGACAACACATGTGGAAAGTATTTCTGAAACAAGGACAGAGGCTGATTTTTGTAGCGCTTCTAATTCTGAAAATCAAGTAAAAAATGACAGTTATTGTACTAAGGAGGAAGACATAAATAAAGACTACAAGGTGGTGGAATATGAAAAAGAAAATGCAGTAGGTTCCCACAAAAATTACAAAAATATTACCGCTGTTAACCTGGGCAGAAATGGAAGCAGAAGAGCCGATGGGAACTTCCCAGGAGCTGAACAGGACAGCTTTTCTGACTTCGTAGGCTTTACTTCTGCTGGAGGTAAAAAAATAAATATTTCTAAAGAGGCTCTGACTAGATCTGCGGAGCTCTTCAGGGACCTGGATGATGATAACTGTTTGTTTAAATCCTCTGAAACTAGTACTAGATGTCACAATACGAATGGGCATCTATCTTCTGACTGTAACTTTGTCAGATGCCTGACAAAAGAAAACAAAGGAAAAATTGTTTGTCGTTCAGATTCCAAAAGCTCAGGAGCCATTTCCCACACAGGTTCAGTTTCCCATCATGCACAGAAAAAAAATGAGGAAAATATTAATGCACTGTTCAAGGAAGATACAAAAAATCAAACAAAAATATCAACGCATGATAATGAAAATGTTAATTTCAGTAGTGCTATCATCGACAGTCTATCATCCATGACAAAAGATAGCCAGAATCATAAAACTTCCAAACTGTTTTTGAATCAACGAGATTTCCAAGTTGAAGGTAGTTTGCAAGAAGACTCATCAGGTAAAACGCATCTAAGAGATGCTATTACACCTGGAGAAGGACATACCTTAATTATGTCAGATGAAGTGGAGAACCTGTCTCTGAATCAGAAAGGAGAAGACAGAAAGGAAAACGAACACTTGTCACAAATATTTCAAACTCCAGCTGGTGGTGATCTATCCATTTCTGATGCAGCTTTGGATCATTCTCTACACTTGCTCAATGTACAAGGTGGAGGACATGTAAATGTTTTGGAGAACTCTGATAAAGAAAAGACATACTGTAAAAATATGGAAGGAGAAAACAACACTCATGATAAGAACCTGTTAGTGAATGAAAGCAGAATAAAAATAGGTTCTTACCAGCATCATCAAACACCTTTTGAGCAAGAGGTAGGTGTTGGAAAAAATGAAGTGAAAGGGACTTATCTGACCAGTTTTCATACTGCTAGTGGCAAGAAAATAACAGTCGCTGATGGATTAATGGCTAAAGCTGAACAGTTTTTTGCAGAAAATGTTGATGTAGGAAAGGAACATAATGATGATTTTGAGAACCCTATAAAGAAAAGGAAGTGTAAAAACAATGTCAAAGATGGTGATTTACGTATTGAAAGCATTGCTCAATGTTATCCAGAAAAACTTGGTGAAAAGCTTGTTCCTGAAGAACTTGGAGATCAGCTTAAGCAGGCAGCAGAGAGCAGTCCCATTAAACATGCTGTGATTCTTGATACGTTTGGTAACGTAGGTGGAGATTGTGAAAGAGGTTTAGTAACCTCATATGTACATAAAAGAGCTGATGTCAGACCTGGAAAGTCAGAACTAGGATCTCTCCCTGGGCAGGAGAGTGGTGCTTTAAGTACGACTTGTGTGTCCGAAGGTGGAAAACTGTTACCAGAGAGAGAGATGGAGTGCTCGCCAAAGAAGAGGGATGATTCAGAGAGCATGCACGGTTTTCCTGTGCACTCTGCCACACCTCTGCATTTAATGAGGGTATCACATGACCTTGAAGATAATTCTGTGCCTGTAGGTAGAAAAAATACTTCATTTGTTGAGGACAGTAACAACAAATCTAATCAATCCCTTGCCTTAACTCCAAAAAGTAGCTCTTCTTACTTGCCCTGTGACAGTAAGAAATTTGACTTGGAATGCTTAAATGAATCTTGTGCTGACACAAACTGCTTCACACAGACCATAGGTAATGCTTGCCAAAACAAGTCACCAGTCTGTCTGCCTGAAGATGAAACTAATTTAACCAGGTTAAAGGAAACAGTGCGTAATGTTGAAGATCAGAAGGGTGATCTGGAACAAACTGTGTTTAGTACAGCCAAAGGGAAAGCAGTTTCTGTTTCAGAGAGTGCCTTAGCAACAGTCAGACAAATGTTTCAGGAGGACTATAGTGAATCTGTAAAATATCAAACTGGGACTAAGTCAAGAATTAGTCAAACAGAAATTGCTGGAAATTCACCTTCTGTCATTCGTGCTGAGTGTCCTGAGTTTTTAAATGCTGAAAGAAGTGAAGATATTAATTCAGCTGCATCCCATTTTATTAAAGTAAATGCAAGCACTAGTGAAAATGGTCACCAAGGTGCATACACATTTGTAGATGCAAAGCCAGTTTCAAATTCTCAGGGGCAATGCTTTGACAAGAACATGAAGCTTTTAGGGCACTTGCCTGTTCCAGATAAGCAGCTCAAGCAGTCGGGTTCTTCTACAAGCAACCTTGGGTTTTTTAGTACAGCGAGTGGTAAGCCTGTACAACTCTCAGAAGAGTCACTCTCAAAAGCTAGACAGCTCTTCTCTGAAATGGAAGGTAACTGTTCATCGCTTGTACAGGAAGAGGTTTTAGTGGAGGAAGGTGTGGAGAAGCCTGAAACACACACTGAAGTAGTTCCTAGGAAAACATGGATAGAGTTACCAGAAAGGGAAGAAAATGGCAGCAGTGAATTCATTTCAGATCCTGCTTTTGGGTTCAGCACTGCAAGCGGGAAGCAGGTAACAGTTTCTAAAAATGCCTATCAAAAAGCAAAGGCAATTTTAAAAGAGTCTGATGACCTTTTCAGCAGTGGGCTTTGCATTACAGATCAACTTCATCCACTTAAAGAGGGTGGTCGACATGTAAAACCTTTAACTGCTAAAGCGAGCTCAGAATCCAAAATTGGAAGACGCTGCAGTGAAGACTTTGACTTAAAAAGCATCAACCCTGAGGAACTGAAGTCTTTTCCAAGCACTCACCATGTTAAAATGCTTGAGTTTGTACCACATAAGAAAAACAAGCAGTTAACATCATTTAAAGATAGCTTTCAGCAAGAGGAGACTTGGTGTTTTGGAAACGGGCAGCTGAACCTGGGGATGAAAACGGAGTCTGAAGCCATTTCACGCAGTGCTACTGCTAAAGCAGAAATGGACCTCGATCTTCTCCAGACTCCAAAGCATTACTTGGAAGCGGAGGCTGTAGAAAGTGCAAGAGCTTTTATGGAAGATGATCTTTCTGATTCTGGAGGACAAATTAATGCTGCACAGTCCTTCAGCAGCAGACTGGATAAAAACTTTCAAAATAAGACTTCTGGGAAGAGGCGCATTGAAGAAGAAAACTCACTTGGTAGGTCTTTGTCTTATATATGTTCAAATCCATATTTCTGTGCAGTGGGTGGTTTGAGGGACTTTTTATGGCGTGTCACATTGATTTTAAAGGTCATGTAGAAGCTGAAGTTCTTTCCTTAGGTGTGAATGACAAGAATTCTTGCTGCAGGCAATAGTTCACCCACTCTTTCCAGCCTTAAATGCACAGTGCAAGCTGAATTTGTGATTAGCAGTTCTGAAGATGTGCAGGTTTTGCTGTTTTATCATGTAGCTATCATCACCGAATGGCTCAGATTGGAAGGGACCCTAGAGCTCATCTAATTCAACCTCCCTGCAGGGACACTTCTCAAGATCAGGTTGCTCAAGGCCTCAAGTTATGAAAGAAAGCTTTTGTCTCTGAGCACAGACTTTTTTTTTTTTTACTTTCTCTGTGCCAGTCTCTAATGGTTTTTAATTGAAAAATGAGTAGTGATATTTCCTTTTTCACCTTTTTGTGCCTTGTAGGTGAGGACAAGGTTTTGCTTGTATTGCTGTTGCTAGGCTGGTAGGAGAAATAGTTGCTGGTGGAAGGCCACAGCTTCTTGCCATCTGAAACTGATCTGCCTTAAGGCTGCAGCGTTGGTACTTAGTGCGTGAGCAGACTTGACTTAGTGCTGGAGCAGATCTGTTCAGGGTCCTGGGGCAGCTGAGAACTGTTCATGGAGGGGTGGCTCACAGCAGTGGCTGGCTCTCTGCACAGATTTGTGTGGAGCAGTGCAGGAAAGTTTGGGTGGGTGTGAAAAGGCAGGTAGGACTCCACCCATCCAACTTGAAACAGCTCTGCCACACCGTATCCTTAGAGCTTCTGTAAAAGATGTGCTACATACATTTTGGGGTTTCTGTGAGGACTCCTTGATTACTCCTTGATGAGCTGTGCTGCTGAAGCCCACTGTGGTGCCCTTCCTGATAACTTAAGGCTTTCAAACTTGGATTTGGAGGGAACAGACCTACTGACCACAAAAGATCCTGCAACGGACCTCATTATGTGGAGTCTTGAAATCATTCTTGGTAACACAACGTGCAGTCATTCTGTGCAGAAGAGACTTTTGCAAATTGTGGTGAATTAGCTCTGTGTTCAAAAAGGCCGTTTAATAGGGATATGTGACCTGAAAACTTGCTACTTCTGCTTGCTCTGACTTCTTGAATATTTTATTTAGAAATTATAATTAAGTTATACAGTATTGGTAAGATGCTGAACTTAAAAGGAACATTACTTTTAAATCTCTGTTTTTATCCTAGGAGAACCTCCAATTAAAAGACAGCTCCTGCTTGAGTTTAACAGGACAGAGAATCCCCCCAGATCTTTGAAAGCTTTGAAAAGCACCCCTGATGGTAATTTCAGTCTTCTGGTGTCCTAAGCAGTAATCTGATATTGGTTGTTATCTTTAGACTTCTTCCATTTCCAGTGAACTAACATATAGTAAGATTGCTTAACTGCTTCTTTTATCAGTGTAAGCCATGGAAATTCAGGGAAGCTGCTGTGGGAATGTCTCTGCTGACTTGGCATCACATGACTAATGGCATGCCTTGCTGTGCAGAATCCCAATGTATTACAGTGTACTACTTCTGCAAGAACTCTGGTTTAATTTCCAGCTCAGTGAGAATTTATCCAGTTTCTCACAATCCTAAATCTCAGAAATTCAGGTCTCAGTAGCAAGAATATATTTTATTGATCTGTAATTACTTAATTAAATACTATATCTACAGGAAAATGAGAAGGTATTGCTAATTTAATTGTATAATAATTTGTCCAAAATATACTTACTGTCAGGTGTCTACAGTACAGATGCTTTTAATATTTTGAGCCAGTAAAGTGGAGGTTTATGAAAGTGAAATCAAGGTTTTAAAGTTTGAGTTGATGCTTTATGTGAAGCTGGTTAGTGATTAGGGTATTAGCATAATGTGATTTTGGCTATGCCTTTTGGTTATGGGGTAAGCTGGGATCTTTAAGGAATTGTTCTTGCTAAGTACTGCGTGCTCTCCTGCAGAATGCAGTAGCACAATCCATCAAATGTATGGATTTAACCCACAGGTTGGTCCCTGAATACTGTCCTAAATCTGATCTAAGCAGAAACCCCATGATTTAAAGTTTTAAATGGAATTTGAAAGTTGCTGCCAGAGAACAATTTTATACCCTTCATATGCAAATATTATCCTGCCCTGCAGCAGGATCTGAACAGTGTTATTCTTTTGTGGAACAAAGGGAAATAGTTCTAATCTGCAGTACAGCCTTGCCTCTGACTTGTAGAACACGTGGCATCTTGTAGATATGACTTCTCATAAGAAGCTTCCTCTCTGCAGCCTAAGGGCAGAGCACAAATGAGTTTTTAAATTCCAGGCAGACATGATTTAGTTCTGTTGGTAATTCCAAGATAAGCGTGTGCTTCAGTGATGGAAGGAGGAGGAGTTTATGCAAATATACCCTTTTCTGTTTTAACTTTAAAAAAGAAAAAAGCTGCTAAGACAGTTCTAAATTGAATGGTGGGGCTACTAGAATTAAATATATGCTAAACATTTCCCTTTCAGGAGTGTAAAAACATCCTGCAGGCTCACAAACAGAAATTTTGGGGAGTTCAGCATTGCGGTCACTTATCCTTTATACCCATCTGCAACTCGTGTGAAGATATTTTATACACAGATTTTATTTGAGGGGCAGACAGGGCACCTCATCCCAAAGCTGTTTAAATCCACTCTGGAAACTTCTATATGCTTATAGTTTGAATATAAAAAACAAGTGCTGTAAATATCTATCCAAGTAATGTACTGTTTCAAACTTTTTTCTAATAGGCATTTTCAAAGACAGAAGAAAATTTATGTACCATGTTCCTTTAAAACCCATGATGTGTCAACCTTTTGGGTGAGAAATCTGTAATATATTTTAAGAGTTCTTCTAATGCAGTTTCTTAAAGCCTTGCAAACCCTTGGACTATTTTAAAAAATAACACAGTAATAATTTGCTACCCAGCTTTGTTAAAGACTAATAATTTTACCTCAAAATAAACATTTTAAGTTACCATATAGCACACACTGCTGCAGCAAGATGCTGCAAGGTGCTGCAGCAGTTAGCATTGAGATGCTAAACAAACTTTACACTTGTATTTCTCTTTTCTTGGTAGATAGGAACAAAGTATTCAGTTTTTAAAACGCCAAAGACAGCTGTTTTGTCTTTTTATTGATGTACTGTTGAAAGTTGTATTACTAAATTAAGAATATAAAAATAATGAAAGATTTTTGTCAGAAAGCTGGAATTTGTATGGTTGGTTAAACATTTTCATCTCTGTAGGGCTACTAAAGAAAGACAAGAACTCAGGAATCCCACCCTTACTCTACCGGATCAAGACTTCAAAGGATTCAAATCTAAACCTGCCATTTTTCAACACTGTGCACTAAGGCAGTTTTCAGATGGTACTTCAGGAGTTTCTACTCCATGTCAGGCCTCAGCAAAAGAGAGGGAAGAAACAAGAAGCTTGTACAGATCTGGCAAAACTGCTAAAACTTTTATTCCTCCCTTCAAAACCAAGCTGACGTTTTCCACAGGTGAACAAAGCAGCAGCAAAAGGTGTGACTCGCCCACCAGCAAAAACAGTACTGAGGAGGTGGAATTCACTCAGATCACAACTCAACAAGATCCTGATGAGCCTCAGGACCACCAGGCTTGCACCCAGCATGCAGAAGACACTGACCTAGAAAATGGCAATTTAGGTATTCGCGGGTTTTGATCACTGAACTATTAATGCTAACTAGCAGAATTGAACCTTTAAGGGTTTTGCATATTCTGGCAGACTTCCTTTTTTAAAATAAAAAGAACCTTCTTTTTAATTTTTTTTTTTGTTTTCCAGGAAAATTAGTAAGTAATTCTTTCCTAATATTTTACATTGCTTTCCTTCTAAAGCATATGCAGCTCATCTTCAAAGTTAATTAAAAACACAAAAAATTTGTTTTCACACAGTGCTTTAGAAACAAGATGGCTTATGTTTCATTTGACACTTTTTTATACACCTCTTCAGTAAAACCTGAAGGACTAGCCTGGCTGTACTTGACTTTTACAGCAGCTTGTTTTCATTCTGTTTCCTAATTAAAATGTAGGTTTAACCATATAAATGGCTGATTGTGTCATCTTCAAGGAGGCAGAGTTTAAATGCTCAGCTGTTTGAATTGATTTAGCATGTGGGTTTATGAATTCTAAGCTCTTGAATGTTCCAGTGTGTTTAATTTCTGTAACTATTATAATCAAACAGCCTGAGTTTTTTTTCAGAAGGACTCGTGTATATTTGAACAGGTGCATGAACATGTGCAGAATCAGATTCTGTATTTACAGGTCCAAAATTTCAGATTACAGACCTTATGGTCATTGTCAACTTTCTGTTCTTTTGGAGTTTTCTGTGAAGATAGATTTCAGTCTGCTAAGAAAAATATGTGGATTTAAGTTTAGTTTAGTTCAGGGACTTATTCATATACAAAGCGAATGGTATGAAATGAGTAACTATTGTGCAGATGCCTTCAGTAAACTCTGCTTTTTAAATGCATTAAACTTTGACTGTTTAGACTGTTACAGTTTCTAAAACATCTGCAGAATGGCTGAGAAAATCTGCTTCTATAGTGTGACTATATCTTACATCAATGCATACTGTGAAAAGGTTTTGATGGTGTTGGTTTGTTTGTGTTTTTGTTTTCTTTGCAGCTATGGTCAAGATGATGACAAATCTCCACTGTGCCAGAGATCTGCAGGAAATGAGAATTAAAAAGAAATATAGGCAAAATATTAGCTCACAGCCAGGAAGCTTATATGTCATTAAAACATCTGCAAGAAACAGAATCTCTCTGAAAACTGCTGTAGAAGAGAAGTCTCCTAGCTCCTACTCAGCAGAAGAGGTATATCAATGTCTTTTTCCTGTGTCTTTCCAGGCAGATCTGTTCCTTAAGCAAACAAAACTCAGCAGCTTGTGAACAGATACATCCTTCAGTTTTGAGATATTTACAGTAGCTCTTATATCAGTTCCTAGAGTTTGTAAGTAGTTCTGCATATCCACAGTTTATTTAAGACTATTCCAAATAGCAAGGGTCATAAAGTCTCTGTAGTGCTATAATCAAACAAGAGAAGCATCAAACAAAAAAATCCACCAATTATGGTTGCTTTTAACCCATGTGAAGAAGTTAAATTCAAGCTTAGGTAAGTCTGTATCAAAAGCCTCTTGCTCTTGGTACAGAAGGTGCAAAACCTATTGACTCTAAAGCACACTGTGATGATGCCATTCTGCTAAAATAATTGCTGGGAAGTCCTTAATTCTCCTTGGACTACATACAGAGTGACAAAGTCAGACAAAAGCTGTCTCAACCTCAGGAAAATATTTTGAGTTTATAGCACTAGATACAAAAACTCAGTTGAATTCTTACTGTATAGTCAGTATTTTGTTTTTCTAATTTTTTGCAGCTTTACACATATGGTGTTTCCAAACATTGTATACAAGTTAACAGCACAAATGCAGAATCTTTCCAGTTTCTCATCAAGGACTTTTTCAGTAAGGAGGATTTATTAGCTGGAAATGGGATGCAGCTTGCTGATGGAGGGTGGCTAATACCTACAGATGAGGGAAAAGCTGGAAAAAGAGAGTTTTACAGGTACTGTTACTTATGAACTTGAGACAAGTATGTTATTTATTAGTGATTCTCTTATCCCCTAGAATAAGTCCAACACAATGGTGTTTTAAACCCTCTGACTACTTTTTTTTAGTGTGCATTTTTAGTGCACCTCTGCTAGTGTGAATTAAGATATTGTAGGATTGTAAATTTATTATGTAGACTAATCATAGAATGGTTTGGGTTGGAAGGGACCTTAAAGATCATCTAGTTCCAACCCCCCCTGCCATGGACAGGGATACTTCCCAGTACTCAGGAAGTACTGAGAACCTGAGCAGTACAGGTTGCTCAAAGCCCCATCCAGCCTGGTCTTGCACATTTCCAGTGATGGGTCATCCACAACTTCCCTGGGCAACCTGTTCCAGTGTCTCACCACCCTCACATCGAAGAACTTCTTCCTAATTTTTATCTAAATCTATCTTCTTCCAGTTTGAACCCATTACCCCTCATCCTATCACTACAAACCCTTGTAAAAAGTCTCTCCCCAGCTTTCTGGAAGGCTGCAGTAAGGTCTCCCTAGAGTCTTCTCTTCTCTAATGTTGGTGATATTCACTGACCATTTAAGAAAGCATACAAAGTCAATTTAGAAAATTTCTGGAGATTTGTCAAATGCATGAACAATCTAGCAACATATTACTATTTTATGTTAATTCAATGTTTCACAACTTTAATTAGCATAAAAAGCTTTTGATTTGTTTTCAAGTGCAAAAGCATTTATTTCTGTTGGACCCTAGACTAGTCTTTTGATGGGAATGAGGGTTGATCAGGGAAGTCGATTTGGGCTTCTTTGGCAGGACAGGAGTGAAGAGGTTTTTTAAAATAATTTTTTTCAAGCTGACATATGATTTGAAGGAAACCAGGACTTCAGTAGTAAGACTCACCAAATTCATTCAACCTTTCTTCTGAGTATATGTAAGAATTTTAAAAAAAAGAGAGGATACAATCCATGTTCTTGCACTCTTCCTGGTCTTTCTATCCCCTCCTGCAGGTCATTTAAGTAAGATAAGCTGGAAAAAAAAGTGAATCTGAGATGCTCTTTTTTCAAGTCAGTGTCATCACTGGTATGTGTTGACACAAACACTCAAGGCAGGGACCTGTATTTCAGTAGTATTCGTAGTCAAGTGTGCATTGGCAACCTAGGTGGAATCAGAATTCAAGAAGCTGGCAACATTTGCTTCCCAGCAGGGTCGTGTGAGAGAGGCAGGTCTGTTCCAGGCTCAAGAACTGCTTGTATTTGAAAGTTTGGGTTGGTGAAGTTGGTGCCAGTAATCCAGTATGGGAAGACTGACTAGTGTAAGATGTGAGCTTCCTCATTGTGATCTGTACTTCCTTGTGGGAAAAAAAAAAAAAAATTGCTTTCTGCTCTTGCTAGTGACTCAGCATCATTATTATCTTCTCCCATGAAAAAAAAGAAAAATTGCTTTCTGCTCTTGCTAGTGCTCAGCATCATTATTATCTTCTCCCATGTGACCTTGGGAAACATTTTTGATGTTAAAGTTTGTCATCTTTGTTTTCCTCGCCCAACAGCAATACAGTTCCTTAAAGTCATCTTGGGGCTTTCTGACAAGTCAGAAATTGACATTTTGATAGGAATTCACTTGTGTTCTAATCAGTCTCAGCTATTTGGATCTCTGATCTAATTCTTTCTCTTCCTCCTTTACTGAAATGGCCTTTCCCAGTAACTGTGAGAGCTGGAAATAGTGGCTGTTTCCAGCTCAGCTGCTGCAGTTCATGGTGGTACAGCTAGGACTCAGCACAGAATGAAGGTCCATGTGAGTGGTCAGTCAATGGAGAGAAGAAAGTTCTTCAGTAGCAACTGAAAGCTCTTCGAAATGTGTTGTCTACATACGTGCTTAAGAGAAAAAAATTAAAAAAGGCAAAGCACTCAAACCACAACTCTAGAAACTGAAATGGAAGGGGGTGGGTTTTGATGAACCAATTCCAGGGCTGAAAGAAGAGAGCACAGCTCTGTCCCTCCGTGCTGCGTGCGTAACTGCGTGAAGCAGACAGAGCGTGCTCCTGGAGCTACTGCTGGGGCCAAGAGTCTCCACTGCAGGGACCTGTGTCCATGCACGTCTGCTGCCAAAGCCTGTGAGGACAAAACTTCACTGTCCAGACAATAACCACATCAGGTTATGGGATGTAACCTTCCTCTTTTCACTGCAATCAATACCCCTTTGCCACATAGCCTATGTACGTACACGGAACACAATGCCACAGAAAAACAGGCAAGTAAAAACACACAGTCCATTTCAGCTTAATTTATTAATAATTTATCTGCAGAGCCCTCTGTGACACTCCTGGTGTGGATCCCAAACTAATAACAGAGGCCTGGGTTTACAACCACTACAGGTGGATTGTATGGAAACTGGCAGCCATGGAAGTGTCTTTCCCACATGAATTTGCTAACAGATGTTTGACACCAGAAATGGTGCTGTTGCAGTTGAAATATAGGTGAGTGTGTAACAGTATATTTGGAGTTGTAATTTGTGACACCATGTGCTTTCTAGTTTGTAATATTACAAAATAAGCACCCCTACCTCATATTTACTATTTATCAGAATGCTTAGATTGTTAAACTTACGCATATCAGTACTACAAATGTGTAGTGCATGTTATTTCCAAAAATGTAGGTAACATTTGCTTTGCTACAGTAGTAAACAATCATGCAGATTGATTAAGCAGTAGTTTGCTACAACTATTTTCAAGAAAAAACAATGTGATGGATTTTGCTTGCTATGATAAAGGATCATGAATTCTTCTTTTGTAGGTATGATTTGGAAGTTGATAAAAGTAAACGATCAGCAATCAAAAAGATAACGGAAAGAGATGATGCGGCATGTAAAACACTTGTGCTGTGTGTTTCTAAGATCATATCACTGAACGCCGCTCTGTCTCCGAGCAGTGGCAGTAACAATGTGGAAAGTAAAAAAGCAGCAGCAGTGGTTGAAGTTACTGATGGCTGGTATGGGATTAGAGCCCTTCTGGATCCACCTCTCAGAGCTTTTTTACATCGAAGGCGGCTGACTGTTGGTCAGAAGATCATAGTGCATGGAGCAGAACTTGTTGGTTCTCAAAGTGCCTGTACACCACTGGAAGCCCCAAATTCCCTTATGTTAAAGGTAAAACAAAATATCAGTTCATCTTGATTGGGTGTGACCCAGAGATGTGATAGATGTTATTTAGCTGAGCTGTGTTGTGAACAGAAAAAAGGTTTATCAGAGCTTTATAACCAGATGAAGTTTTTTCAGCTTAATAGCCAGGTCTGTAAGACATGACACACTGTTCAATAGGGTTGGATCAGAAGTTTGTTATACAAATATCTGCCAAGTTTTGCTCCTTAATTGGTTGAGCATCTCCTCAATTTGGCTGAGCACCCAGTTACAGAAAGTACTTATCCATTAGAGACAGTATGGAAGTTGGAGGAAAAATGGGGGGGGAAAAAAAAGTTGTGAGGGGGTGGGCTTGATGGGAGGGTCTTGACTACTTTGAGGGTGATTAAAGTGCTGGGTGAGGTTTCAGCATAAAAAGTTTAATCCTCTGGTATAAAGCATTGGTTTGTCTTATAGATACTCATTTCCTGGAGAATTTTAACTCATCAAATTTTTAGTTCCTTTTTAAAATACATTCTTCAATGTGAAAAGAAACCTTCAAATTTAAATGTAATATATTCAGGTGCAAAAATGAGATATTAGTGACGTCAGTATGAAAATAGTCTTTTCTCTAGACAGAATAAATTGAGTATATTTTTGACCTACTGGTGACAGTTTATCATTCAACATTTACCTTATCCAGCTTTCAGCCAACAGCACTCGCTGTGCACGATGGAATGCAAAGCTAGGATTTCATCTGGATCCCAGGCCTTTCCCCGTGCCTCTGGCATCGCTTTACAGTGAGGGTGGTGCAGTGGGGTGTATTGATGTAGTTATTCAAAGAGCTTACCCCATTCAGGTATGGTATGAGTATTTTATGAATCTATCAGGTTCTGTGAGAGCTAAATTACAGCAGTTAATTGCTATGTCATTCCTCAAATCAGCCTTAATATAGAAAGCTAGAAAATTTAAGCAAAGGTGCCATTATGTGTAAAGTGAACAGGAGTGGTTCTTGCAGTGTGCGTGTATTTAATATTTTAAGACTGGAGTATCCTGCTGCAAGAAGAATTTGGGTTTGCACTCAGTGTCTTCTGGCTGGCTTTGCTTTCAGCTTCAAAAAGCCAGAAGCATTGAATTTCAGTTCTGTAATCTAAAAAGCATAGTGATTGTTTTAAAGGAGAAAAAAATACTCAGTTTCACCTCCAAGTAGAAGTGAAACCCATTTTTTTTTCTATTATTAACGTACATAACCCTGCAAAGAAATTAAATATTTACAACCATTTGTAAGACTTTTTCTTACACGTAGCTGGCTATATTTTGTAGGACCTATTATTTAAAACTTTTACTGAAAATAGTGTGATTATGCTGTAAAATAGAACTAAGATCTTTTAAATACTACTTAATATCCAGACATTTAAAATATGGTCAGACTTCACCGTAACTGCTTGCTTTTATAACAATACCAACTACAAAAACAAACTCGTAATCAGTCCTCTTAATGTTAACAGTTTAACCAGGATACAACTTTCAGATTTTGTTAACTTTTCTCAGGGTATGTTACACTTGGCATAGGCATATGGGTTTTTTTCCATTGCTTTCTTTCTGGAGAGCTGTGTAACTGTTGGTGCAGGAGGCATAGGGCCTGCACTCACCAGGGCAGGTGAAGCCCAGCTCAGCCCCTCAGCACCTCTCACAATACTCTCTTGCTGCTTCCCTGTGCTAAACCTGGAGCTTAGCTAGTTTAATTCACTCAGCCAGGAGTAACTAATTAACTAACAGTAGATGGAAACCAAAAAGACACAACCAGCTGCTGTCTGTTGAACTAAACTGGTGAGGTCTGATGAGGTCAGATATGCGCTAGGGCCAGCGCAGGGGAGAAGATGGGACTGTGCAGCAGAGGAGGAGGAAAGGGACCACTTTTGGCAGAAGTGGCATCTGTTTGCCTCCTCTGTCTCTTCAAGTCAGGCAAGCCAGTGTAAGGCAGGGTTGTGAACAAGGCTGTAGTGCTGTGGAGCCACTTCAGCCAGAAAACTTTGAAGAGCATCTGCAGAGCAACATTGTGGTTCCTTTACAGCATCTAACCTGGCAGGTTAGAACAGACAGTCTGGCTGATGCAGAAAGACAAATTGGGTAGAACGCAGTTCGGGGTTTATTTTCTAAGCATTGAGTTTAGTGGTTTATATCTTAATGGATCTGCCAGTGGGATCCAGCTATCTGCTAAATGACATCATTGATAGCTATCTCTATAAGCTGTGGTTTCTTCAGCTGTTCAGTCATGCAGTTCTGACTACTCCATTCTGTGTATCTTTCAAGTGAAGGCTGACCAATCAACACTGGATTTTTGCCTTTTATCTATTATACTTGAAGAGTTTATGATCTACTTCCTGTCATTTTTTAAAGCATTTTTGCTCAACAGTGAGTATTAGAAGGAAGCTAGATGAGGTTAAAAGAATTTTTAGAAGTCTGGTTTTTGTTTGGATCTTTTTATTTCAGTGGGTGGAAAGGACATCGACTGGTTCACACGTGTTTCGTAACAGCCGAGCTGAAGAAAGGGAAGCTGCCAAACATGCAGAGCATCAACAAAAGAAACTGGAAGCTCTGTTTGCAAAATTCCAAGCAGAATATGAAAAGCATGAAGGTAAAGCTTTCACTGTTTCAGAGCATGTAATAAAACACAAACTTTTTTGCGTTTACAGAAGAGTTTACAGAAACTGGTAAAAATGTCTGGTGATGGAGGAGCAGAAGTAGGGTGTTGGGTGGTTTGTTGTTGGTTTACTGTTGTATTGGTTTAACTTTTATACTTCAAGACCTTTCAGTACAAAACAGCTATGTATTTATTTGCTTGGCTTTGCAGCTAGCTAAGAAACTCTTCCTGAGCGTGGTGGTAGCCTGGCTACTAAAAAATTGCCATTTAGCACTTCAAAATTGTAGAACTGTTAATTCCATTCTCTTCAAAGACCTGACATGGTAATATTTCAGCCAGCGGTGGATGCTGCTTAGGGTGTGTCTCAGCAGACCTGAACACAAAGGCTAAGCACTGAGCATCCTTCCTCACAAACGCTGTGGAGCTGTGGAGGTACTGAGGTCAGTGGAGCTGCTCAACAGGACAGGGACCCTGGTGACACGGGATGTGAGAGGGCTGAGTTACTGAATTCCTTTTTCACTTCAGCCTTAACCAGCAACGCCAGTCTCCAGCAATCCCAGGCCTTGGAGACCAGTGGGGAGTATGGAGCAAGGAAGAGGATCAAGTTAGAGAGTGCTTGGACAAACTGGACATACCTAAGTCCATGGTCAGTGATGGAATGAACCCACAAGTGCTGAAGGAGCTGGCTGATGTCTTTGTGAGCCTGCTCGTGGTCCTCTTTGAATGATCCTGGAGATTGGTAGAGGTGCCCGAGGACTGGAGGAAAGCAAGCGTGGCTCCTGTCTTCAGAAAGGACAGGGAGGAGAACCCAGAGAACTAACTACAGGCCAGTCAGCCCTGACAAGTTGATGGAACAACTAATACTGGAAACCATTTCCAGGCACATGAAGGACAAGGTGATTGAGAGTAGTCAGTATGGATTCACCAAGGAGAAGTCACGTTTGGCTAACCTGACAGCCCTCTGTGATGAAATCACTCGCTTGGGTCGCTGAGACAAGAGCATTGCATATTGTCTACCTTCACTTCAGTAAGGCTTGTGACACTGTCTCCCTTAAAGATCCTCACAGAGAAGCTGATGAAGCTTGTGCTAGATGAGCAGACAAGTGGATTGAAAACTTGCTCAACAGTCGGGCCTGGAGGGTGGTGATCAGTGGCACAGAGTCTTTCTGGAGACCAGTAGCTAGCACTGTACTCCAGGGATCAGCACTGGCTCCAGTCCTGTTTGAATGTTTTCATTAATGATCTGGATGGTGGAGGAGAGTGTGCTCTCAGCAGGTTTACTGATGATACAAAATGAGGACAAGTGACTGATACACTAGAAGGTTGTGCTGCCATCCAGCAGGACCTCCACAGGCTGGAGAAATGGGCTGACAAAGAACCTCATGAATTTCAACAAAGAGAAGTGCAAATCTTGCAGCTGGGGAGGGACAGTCCCCTGCACCAGTACAGACGTGGGGCCACCCAGCAGGAAAGCAGCTTTGCAGAAAAGGCCCTGGTGGTCCTGGTAGACAAGTTGAGGAGTGTTGCCAGAAGGTCTAAAGAGGTGATCCTCCCCTCTTGAGCTTTTGTAAGGCCACATATGGAGTACTGGGTTTCCCAGTGCAAGAGACATGGACATACTGGGAAGAGTCCAACAAAGGACCATCAGGATGTTTTGGGGATTGGAACATTTGACACAGGAGGAGATGCTGAGAGAGCTGGGACTGTTGAGCCTGAAGAAAAGGCTCAGGCAGGTGTGATCAATGTACATAAATATCTGAAGGGACAAAGGACCATCAAGGTGTTTTGGGGATTGGAACATTTGACACAGGAGGAGATGCTGAGAGCTGGGACTGTTGAGCCTGAAGAAAAGGCTCAGGCAGGTGTGATCAATGTACATAAATATCTGAAGGGAGGGTGTAGAGAAGATGGAGCCAGGCTCATCTCAGTGATGCCCAGTGACAGGACCAGAGGCAACAGGCAGAAACTGAAACACAGGTTTCCCCTGGACATCAGGACACCCTTTTTTACTGTAGGGGTGACTGATAGTGTTGCCTAGAGGCTGTGAAATCTCCATCCGTGGAGATACCCAAAAGCTCAGCGGACATGATCTTGGGAAACCAGCTGTAGGTGACCCTGCCTGAGCAGGAGAGTTTAGCCAAGATGACCTCTACAGGTCCCTTCCAGCTTCAACCATGTTCTGATTCTGTAATGGGATGACACTGCACACCTCTGCTGGTGGTTTCTAGCAGTAGTTTCAGGTCTGCTCTTGCTGGAAGTGCCACAACTGGCTGCTGATGGCTGCAGCTTCACAGAGCTCACTGCTGCACCAGAGATGTTTGCTTCCCCTAAGGTCTGACTCTGCTAAACTGGAATCAATAAGAGTACTAGGATTCTTGCCACACTGATCATGATTCCAGCTGCTTTGATACTCCAGTCTATTTTGGGAAGGAGTTGGTTTTGGTCTTGGTATTTTTTTTCCAGGAACAAATAGGATTCCATCACTAACAGTAGCCTGTGCTGTTCAAGTTTCATAGTGTCATATCTACACCCCAGATAAACTCTCCCTTTCCATAAGTCTTTCTCGTGGTGATCTGTAACACGTAGATTTTTCTGCCTTCTCAGAACCTGGATTCCCTCACAAGTAACAAGGAAAAGGCAAATAAAGCCATACCCCAAAAACAAACAAAAAACATAACCCTAACCAAAAAAGCACCTAACCAAACAAAACTACAACCCCACCACTGAATTCTTAGTTGAAATCAAAGATTGCTTTATAGTTCTTAACTTCACTGATGTCATATGTGATATCAGTATATATGATACCTCCACATATCAGTCACCTCATTGTTTTGTTTTGTTTGACTGGTGAACTTGTCCGTACTGGAGTCTAATGTGTTGAAGGAATTCATCAAAATGCTAGCAGCAAAATGACTTGCCTAAGAAGAGGGTATAGTTTAATGTGAAAAAGTTGGCTTTTAGGTGGTGTCCTAAGGAGGCTTCCTGCAGACCTGTGGTCACCTGTTGTTCCAGATTTTAGTATCTTTGAGACCTTTCTGCTTTAATGAAAGGAAGAGGAAGAGACAGACATACAGAAAACATGGTCAAGTGTCGATGAAGTTTCATAGCAGCCTGTCAAGCCTCCCACCCTGTCCTCAGTGCAGGCACAGATACTGGCTTCTCCAAAGTTTATAGAATATTCTAATCTGTGTTATTTTGAAATGAATTAGGTTTATATTTTCATGAGAGAGATCTACACATACATCAGTTCCTATATAGAAGTGGTTTGTATTTTTATTCTTGCAAGGCCTATGTACTGCCACGCTCCTTACAGAGTTACTCCCTCTTTCACTGTTCAAGTGTGTTGGTTGTACTCCAGAGTTACTCCCTCTTTCACTGTTCAAGTGTGTTGGTTGTACCCAACACGGTGGCTTCTCTTCAGCAGAGGCAGCGTGCAGGAGGACGCCGAGGTCCCGCGTCCTCACCAGGCAGCACATCCGCAGCTTGCAGGATGGCGCGGAGCTGTACGAAGCACTTCGGGACGCGCCTGACCCTGCTGATATGGAGGTAACTCTAGATCCTGCTGGGCTAATCCTGAAAGGCTTCTGCAGGAATTTACAGTTTGGTAATTCATGCTAAAATCAACCATTAAATTACTGTTTATTTCTCACTGCCTTTTAAGATTTGCTACAGCATGATTATTGCTAAATAAAGTAAGGTGAAAAATTTTGAAAGTGTTGTCATGAAGGCCTGTTAAAATAGATTGATCATATCATGGAATGAAAAAAAATATTCTCTTGATATAAAAATCCAGTACGTAGCACAATTAAAAATGAATGTTACTTGTAATTTTATTACTTTGCTTTGTCTTGTATGCATGAAAACAAACGCACCTCGTAAGTCTTGAGTTTCACACAGTCACTGTTGCATGCTGTTCACCAGTGTTGGAGTGATTATATTGTCATTGTTCTCTCCATTCCCTGTTCCAGTTCCATCACACCTTTTAAGTATTTATGCCTTTATTAGTAAAGATGCAGGTGATTAGTCCCTGCCAGTTGTTACAAATTAAACACATGCCTTGCCCTGTGTCCTTGGCTGTCAGAGCCCCACGATCTGTGACTGTGATCAAACGTCAGCGTGCCCGTGGTGCTACACGTAAAGGCATCTGGGTCCTGAAGGCTGCCTCAGAAAGGGGACTCCTGAGGCAGTTCAGTGTGAACCACTGCCAGCTTTTCTTTCCTTCTGACAGGATTTTTTTTCTAAATGTTTCTTCTTTCTTATGAAACAGGCAAGTATGCCTATTGGATCAAGTACTCCCCTTTGTTATGCACTCTTAAGCAGGCTTCTCACTAATTCCCCCATGAGAGCAGTGTGTAGAGCAGTACTTGCACAACGGAGCACCGAGGACCAGTAAAGAGTGCTGACTCCTCATGTGTTAACACCCCTCATTTCAAGTCCTAGCAGTGTACCAGCTGAACAATAAATTGCTTGTGACAGATGAACACTTAAAGAAGCTTTCTAAAGAACTTGGCAGGATTTTTTTAATTCCTAAAAAAGATACTGAATACATTTTCTCATTTACAGGGATATCTCAGTGAAGACCAATTAAAAGCTCTGAATGCTCACAGGCAGTTGATGAATGATAAAAAGCAAACTCAGATACAGGAAGAATTCAAGAAGTTTTTAGAGTCAGCAGAACAGGAAGAAAATGGTTGTTCCAAACGAGATGTGTCTACTGTATGGAAATTATGTGTGGTAGACTACAGAAAGCAAGAAAAACATAAAGGTTAATACTTGGAAAAATTTATAAGTAACTTTTATCTAAACATGGTAACTGGCCAACACAGCAGGTAGATTTGAAGAGCTTCCCACCAGATTTCTAGGTTGCATGTTAATATTTCAAATTTTATCTGTTTTTTCATTGAGGGCTTTTGGGTGGGAGAGTGTGTTATGGATTTCTTTTGTTTAAAAGCCTTGAAGATAGTATTGCAGAGCCAATGTATCTTAATCTGCTGTTGTCAGGAGTGATTCTGAGCATCTGGCGTCCACTGCTGGATGTCTGTTCACTGCTAAAGGAGGGTGGTCGGTACAGAATCTACCAGCTGTCAACATCCCCACCCAAGGGAAGATCAGACTCAGCTAACGTGCAACTGGCAGCAACAAAGAAAACTCGGTATCTACAGCTGCCAGTAAGTCCTTTAAGTGCATAAAAATGTATCATTAAAACGTATCACAGTCTATGTAACTGTATTGTAAATACATTGAAATCTTGTTTCCTCAGATATCACAGGAGATGCTGGCACAGATTTTCTTTCCAAGAAAGGCTCTAAAATTCACCAGTTTGTCCGATCCTTCTTTTCAGCCACCATGTGCTGAAGTTGATTTAGTTGGAGTTGTAGTTTCTGTTAGCAGAACAGGTACGTTGTGAACCACATTCACATCCTCCCATTGCATAAGCACTGAATTTTTTATTTCAAAACTCAGAAAGATCTTGGTGTTGTACCTGCATCTGAGGCCTGTGAAAACCTGCCAGTATAGCCCATCTCTGTGAGATGGTGGCAGATAGTTCTGTTTCCTAAAGAAAAACTGTCTTTGCTTCTTAGCTTGGGAAGAACTCAGTAAGGGAGGATCCAAGCTCAAGAGAAGCTTTTCTTTATTTTTTTTTTCCTGTAAATTGTGGATGTAAGTTCTCACATCTGTGTTCAGCATCTGCAGCAGTACCACTGTGCATGTGCATGAGCTCCCTCTTTTGCTTGCAGGAATGAGTGGAACACGGGCACTGGAGTTCATGGGTAGGGACAGGTGGAGCCTCTTCTGCATACAAAGGAAAAGCACTAGAGCAGTATTGTTTCTTAAGCACTGGAACACAGACTTTGAGTTGTTCCCTGTAATCAGTAGGGAGATAGTGCAGAACATGGAGGAAGCAGGAAACATTTGTTACTGTGCCATGTTACAGGTTGCTGTGTTACGTCTATCAATTCTTTTTCAAGATATATGTGACTTTTTTATAGATACAAATCACAGCAGTCAACCTTTCCTTAAAGATTTAAGGTTTAATTCAGACTTTTTTCTTGCTTTTAGGTTTCACTACTATGGTGTACTTATCTGATGAAAGCTACAACTTGGTGGCAGTAAAGCTGTGGGCAGAGCTCAGACACTTGGCTGCAGAAGACGTGGTTGTGCGCTGCTCCTTCATTTCCGCCAGCAACCTGCAGTGGCAGTCGGAGTTCAGATCAGAAGTGCCTGTGCTGTTGGCTGGAGACCTCTCTGTGTTCTCAGCCAGTCCAAAGGAGAACTACCTTCTAGAGAAGGTTAATGAACTGAGAAGTATGATACAGGTAAATTGGTAGACTTTTAGTTTAATGGTTAATTTTGCTTACTGCTGTGTTACGTTCTTCAGCAAAACGTCCATTAGTACTAATAGATAACTAATGCACAAAATGATGAATTTGAGGGGATTTCCTGGGAGATGGAGTAAAATGTCAACACACTTTTCCTGGTGGACTCTACATATTGTCTTTTGACATTGTCTTTTTGTCTAATGGCTTTTGACCTTTTGGGGTTTTTTTTAATTCAACTCAGCCAACACAGTCTTTAGGATGTGCACAGAATCTTTGGCTAGCAAAAAATACTGTACCTGTCAGTAGGGAATCTGTCAGTTTGACTCTAGCCTTTTAGAAGTTGAAATATGCTGCCTTGCTCAGCTGGACATATCAGTATCAGGCTGTTGATTTCATTTATTTATTTATTTCAGTTTTCTAGCTGTGCAAAGTGGCACATCTTGATGATGCAGTCTCACTTCTTACTGAAAAAATTTAAAACAAATTTTAAATGAAAAGCTTAAACAAAAGGATTTTTTTTCTGTCTGACAATAAAAGGAAGGCATGCTGTTTCCCTCTGTGGAAAGTGCAGTAGTCTTCTAAGTTGTTAGTTTGATATAAAATAAACTTCTAGCAGCATTATTATGAGTAAACAAAGTCTTAAATACTCTGTGAGCATGTAGTACTTAAACAATTTGAAAAACAACTATTTGGCATTGGCAACTGTTCTCCTTTACAGGATGTGGCTTCCTTTTGCTCTGATGCAGAAAGTAAATTGAATTTGCTACGAAGAAGTGTCTCACTTACACCTGGTGTAACCAAAAGATGTGCCCTGGAATCCCCCTCTCCTTCCTGCAGCTCGGCTCTTTACGCAGAGGATAAAAGTTTGGTACGCTTCTGGTAATTAATACTGTGATCATACTGGCAGTACCTACAGTAAGGATAGAGCAGGTTTTATACCAACAGCTGTGGTGAATGGCCTCAGCTCCCAGTCCACTCTGTACGCTCTCCTCAGGGCAGTGCCAGCTGATGAGAGGCCTCCTCTGCCTGTGGGTGTAGGGTTATTCCCCAGGAAGGACCACGAGGCTCTTCTTCACCCAAGCAGCATGTGAAAACCTCCTCTTGTGGCCTGTGTTTTGACACCATGCTTGAAATATTCTGAATTTTATATGAATAAAATGAATCATCCTTTCACTGTAGATGATTTATCCCTTTCTTGGCCCCACTATGAAGGTTATCTGATGTGGATGTTACCAGAAGGAAAAATTCTGATCTGTAAATTTTTCTTTCACAGCATTCTGTAGTTCCTACTTTTGTTTTGAGATTTTACCTCTTGGTTGTCTTTTCCTAGATATTGTTCAGTATTTCCAGGGTCTAGAAGAGAAGAGGTATCGCCTAGTACTTGTTTAAATTTTATAGCATTTTTGACAAAAACTGAGTTAAACAGTACTCGTTTCCCATGGAGGCTGCTGGTGGCAAGTTGTTCCTGATGTGGAGTACTGAGTGCAATCAGAACAAAACTTTTCCTGCCACTTGTTGTGAGGGAACTGGAAACACTCTGATGGGAGATCAATTCCTGGCGACTAAATTTAAGCTTATAAGGCATCCTCTTCCATTTCAGAGAGAGTGTTAATATTTAATTCTGAGGGTTTTGTTTATATCTGCATATTAAATATATTACCCAAGTTAAAACAAATGAGGCATTAAAGGTACTCTGAAGCTAAGTATGTGTTTGAATGGTTTGCAGTGCAGCATCTGTCTTGTGTGTACTGTTATCTTCAAGGTTTTTTGGTCCATATTCTATCCCCTTTTTCTTCAAATTTTATTAATGATTTTTTTCCCTGCTTCACCTGCTGAGGATACATCCACTGCAGCAGGAGACTGAACTCCTTTCTATGAGTGCTTTGATTTCTTAACACCTGGCACATTAAGCTTAGATCTCAGAATGTGAATGTGTTGTCTTAATGGAGACCTAAATTGTGTTTTACTGAGCGTCAGTACTTGAAGGAATAATATTAGTCATCATCAGAAGGTATCAAACTGAAGTTGGACAAGAATGATGACAGAGAATTTTTATATCAGTTTTTTTCCTGTTTTGTGTAAGCAATTGAGGAAGCTGATGAAATGGGACATCCTAGTAAACACAAAACCTATCTCTTTTTAACTAGATCTCTTCTAAAATGGAAATAAAACATCCAAGCCCTTTGTCAACCAGCACACCAAATACGAAACTTGTCACACAAGGGTCAGCAAAAATGCCTTCAACTACTACAATGAATGAAGACCATCCTAAAAACAGCAAAAAGAGAAAAGCCATGGACTTCCTCAGTTGCATACCTGCCCCTCCACCACTGACCCAAACATGTTCCATCATTTCTCCATCTTTAAAGAAGCCATTTCAGCCTCCGCGAAGTTTGGGTTTGCAGCGCAGCAAATCGTTGAACGAAACAAATCAGAACATTGGACACACCACACCCTGCAGAAAGCTGAGAGAAGCTGTCCACCTTCCTGACAACGACCTGGTCGCTGATGAGGAACTTGCAATGATTAATACACAAGCACTCATGAATAATTTACCAGAAGAAAAGAAGATTGCTTATGTAAATGAAAACAGCAATACAATAGCTACTAATTCATCTGATCATCTTTCACCTGCTCCAGGTCTATTGGGGAAGCAAATAACTCATCAAAAAGCAGTTCCCAAGTAGCTGAGGCTCTTCAGAAGGACATAAAGGAACCTGACGTCTCGTTACCAGCCCCCAGAATGCTGCAAAGACCAAACCCCCAAAAATGCTACTGAATGCACTTGTACAGTATCGTATATATTTAAAATTCAAATTATTTGTATACTTTGTACATTAAGTCCTGAATGTGTTTAATAAAGCTGTATTACAAAAACAAAGACACATGACATTACATTTTATCTGCAGAATAATTTGGAGTTAGTCATACATTTCTCACACCAGCCTGTACCCTAGAAGAGCGTTAGTCTGGCCAGAGGCTTGATGACATTCTGTAAGCTGTTGCTTTGATTCTGATGTATTCTTAGGTTACAGTGGGATCTTTGTTTCAGTCTAAAGCCATTCTGCAGTATTAGAATAGTTACTTGGCTGTCAGAAGTGACGAGGCAAGATAAACAATTCTGAGTTTATTGTCAATAAACATGACAGTTCTGTAACATTGCTTTGTAATTCTGGCACCCTTCTTGTACTTTTCCCCTCAGCCTTTCCCTATAGCACTAAAGGGTTTATAGAACAGCTGTAATGATCTGATTCATAGTCAAATGCTGTACAAAGGTATTAATGATAGATCCTTGGTGGGTGTTTCTCAGCTACTCCTCCTTAAAGAAGCTCTTGAGGCTACAGCATCATGAAAGATAATCAGATCTTTCTTTGATTTCACCATGAGATCTCTCTGCTGGGAGTGAGTTAGTGCTTGAATTTATTACTTTGTTCTCATTAATTTCAAGAGATGAAGCTTCTCAGAGTTGAGATTTCTCCACTGCAGAGGGAAACAGTTCTGCTAGATGGGCTCCCAACTCCATGTGTTATTTGTCAGGCTGCCCCTTGCTTTGCTGTTTCCCACCATGCGTGGGTCAAAGGAGGGAGGGCATTTCAGAAGTGAAACCACCAGCTTGTGCTTTGCAGCCTTTCAAGTGGTCCTGTCCCATTCACTTGACTCAGGAGCCACCCCCAGTTCAGCACCTGTCACAAAGCTGGATGTGGCAGCAGGACTGGAGAACTGTAATGTGCTGGTAGTTCTGCCAACCTTTGTGTAATCCTCTAGAGCCAGGTTCCCTAAGCCCCCTAGTTCACAGTGATTTACAATGGTGATACTACTTCTTTAAAAGTAGATTAAAAAACAAATCCCAGTTCAACTTGTACATCTACTGTAGAAAGTTTTAGCTTTTTCCCAGAAACAGCATATTTATTTATACCTCTTACAATTCAGTCTGTTAAGTTGCTACATGAATAGCAGCTATGCCCACAGTTCGTGAGCTGTCTTCATTTCCTACTGCAAAATAACTTCCTGTTGTCTTCCATAATCACTGTCTAATAATCTACACTTATGTTTAAAAAATTGCATCACAAATACTGAGTTTTAAAAACATTCCACATGGCTTTCTGATGAGAACATAATTGCAGAATTTAACCCTATGGATAAAACTACTGCAGGATAGCTGCTTTCCTCTCTCATCCATCAGTCGGTGGCTTCTTGGTACTTAGCGATGGAAGGAATTGATTTCTCCCCTTTTAAGAACATTTTTGTACTCCTTTCCCAAGTAGTTTTTTTGTGCTTCTGAGTTAGTTTGGGTGTCTGGTAGCCTTGTGCTCCAGCTATTCAGAGCCACTCCAGCAGCCCTGTTCCCACTCAGATGCTAGGCACTAGCTTCACGCTGATGTTTCCTTGTCAGAGCCTCTGTACATGGACTCACCTCAGGGCCAGCTGAATTCCTATGTCTTGGCAGAGTTGGGGTGTCAAAGGTGTTTTGCCTCAGAGCTGTTGGGCTGTGGTGGAGCTGAGGTAGGAGCAGCGTGTGCCCAGACAGCAGAGGCAGCCAGGGCATGGCACCGAGCGGCTACGGGCTGTTAGAGCTGCTCTTCCCACCTTCCCCTTTGCTGTGCCTAAAGCTAGGGAGGGTGCAGTGGGAGGACACAAAAGGTGACACAGACAGGTATAAAGGGATAAACCAGCAGGAAATGGAATGTGTGGAGAAGGAATTGACCATGTGGCAGGTAAGAAATAGAGAGAGTGGGAATACTTATTGTTATCTACTGCTGACAGAGTACGACTGGAAAAACACCAACCTCACAGTGTGTGGCACAGCCAATAAATTTCACTGTAAGCTTGAATGGATCTTTGTGGAATAAGAGGGATGAGAGAGAGGATAGTCTGTACTGGGGATAGTGGTTTTAGGCTGGTCTTGTAGCACTGTGAGATCATAACCTCACATTTAAAGATTTGTAAGAAATAAAAGTAATTTAGAAATGTAGTAGAAAAATACAAGAATAAAAACAGTTTAGATAAAAAAAGTAAAACTAGACACTTCTATACCCTGATAATTAAAACCCAGTGAGGAATCCACCTCTTCAGTTAAATGGCATGTTGTGTGTACGTGCCACGAGGTCTCCTGTTTGAGAAAGTGGGGCTGAAACGGGCACCCCTGCCATAAGCTGCATTTGGTCCACTGCTGCTTCTCTCATCTCTGCTTGGCTTTTCAGACTGAAGAACACTGTGGAAGGTAACATTGTGCTCATATTGGTCTTTCATCTGCTGTATCTTTTCTCGAGGGACATGATGAATATTTCTTCTGTAGAGTCAACATTAACAGAAATATACAAATATTTAGCTGCCTGTGTACTGGAGGTTATCTCATGCTTGCGAAGGCTCCTGATCTGTTCAGCATACTGGGTCACATCCCCACTGAACTACTTCTAGACCTTTTTTTGCCAAATTGTTTTTCACTTCCACCTACTTCTTAGAAATAAACATTTCTGTGACTGCTGAAAAATGCTGCCAGGAGCTACGTAGGGCAGGTGACGAAGAGCTATGAAGAAGACCTGTGTATTATTTTATCTGAGGTTTAGTGCTAACAGCTTGTTAGCCTTGGAATGAGCTTTTATACATCTGGAGAACTGCAGAGAAGGGCTGTAGATATCCCAGCACTGACTTGTAATCAACAAGTATAGAGTTCAAAAACCCATTCTTGCTTTGAGAGCAAGTGGGGCAAACCCATCCCTCATGTGGCTCAGGCTCCAGGACAGACCTGCAAACAACGGCGAGTCTGAGAGGGAGTGGGACAGGATGCTCAAATGCGCAGACTTTCTGGGTAGACCAAAAATGACTGCAGTGCCTTGGCACATTAGTGGGAATCGTTCTTCCAAAGACCACCAGGGATTTCTGCTTGTCTGTGAGTCTGCAAACTCCAATGATCTTTGGTTTTGCCATTTAGCTCTGCTAGGCACGATTCATCACCTAGAATCTAAGTTTGTCCTGCATCTGTTTTTTCAAGGCCTTGTGACATGTAAATCCTGCAACTCTCAGTATGTTTTTTTCCCCTAGTGGAAAAAAACCTTTTCCCTGCCTGCTGCAGCATCCTGCCTGTGAAGTGGGCACGAGCCCCCGCGGCAGCCAGTGCCCCACACACGCGTGCAGCCACCGGCACCAGCCATGATGCTGGCGTGGAACCAGGGTGGAACCAGCATGGAAGCAACCTTCAGCCACCCCTGAACCATCTGCCAAACTGCTGCTCCAAACTGTGTCTGACTTAGCGTCACAGTGCTGCTGTGAGAAGCCAGCTCATTTCAGATGGTTACTGAAACAGAACAGGAGTCACCGCACAGCTGGGCTCATAACGAGCAGTTACTGGGCAAACCTGCCCCTGCCCCTGCAGCCTGCCCTGCCCACGGCTCCAGTGGCCCCGGGGAGCAGGAGCTGGCCCTGCAGGTGACTGCAAAGGCTGCAGGTGTCCCCACCTGCCTTCAGCCCCCAGCCATGGGCAGCCACCTGCCATGTCCTGCCTCACCTGGGAGCCGCCAGCGCTCCAGGCCATGGCCTCCTGCCATTGTCACACACAAAAAGGAGCAGCACTGTTTTTTGGCTAGAGTTCCTAGTAGGCATACAACAAAAAATCGGTTGGAAGGAACCACCCGTGCCCTGTTTTCTTGAAATAACAAGTAAGTTAATATGTGTTAGCTTCTGCTGCAGTAGATGGGAGGGCACTCACCACTATAATAGAGGTTACACTTGGCTTAAGGCCAGAAAATTAGCCTGCATGGAGTTGTGACATAGCCATTGCAACCTGCAGCCTCTAGCCAAACTGACATGCACAGAGCTGTATTGGGCTGCCTCTGGATCCTACGCCATCATGCAGAGATGATACATACACTGTATCCCTTCTGTGTGTGCATGTTAAGGTCATGCACAGTCAGGCTCTTTCAGGGCTGAATTTACTGCAGACCAGGTACTCAGTAATAGAGAATTTCTGTGACAATCCTTCTGTTGTCCTTTACTAGGTTAACTTCAGGGGCTATGAAGAGGAAGAGTGCTGACCTTTCCCAGAGCACATCAATAAAATGAGAAGCTGAAGCTGTCTGCCATATCAAACAGAAAAAGATGTACCTTGTCAGTTCTCGAACATTGAACTTCCAGGGTGTATCTGGTTCTTGGAATATAACTTCATATCTATTTTCACGTGCCTGAAGAAGGACACAAAGTTTTAGACATACGGCTGCCAAACTCAGGAGTAGCCAATCTGCCAGACCCCCTGAGATTTTATCTGGCTGAGAGATGTATCATATGTACCAGGAGCCAGAAAAAGGAAGAGAACCATGACTCCCATCAAAGTGCTGGACTGAGTCCCAGCTGGTTCATTTCCTTCCGTATCAAAGGATCTGGGTCTCCCAGCACAAATTCCACCAGCATTGCCCCTGGTCCCCATCCCCCACGGCACTGGCATACTGGCACTTGAACTCTCTGGAAGTCACCCATGGTTCAAGAGCCACAGGCTGGCCATGCCCATCTGGAGCTTCTGGGAGTGTGAGGTCAACATCTAACAGTCAAGCCACTGTCTCTGCAGACCTCAATTTATTTTTAAGGTAAAGCAACATATTTGCTTTAACATATTGCTTTAACATAATATTAACATATTTTACATATATATAATTTTTTTCAAATTTATTGATTGATTTGGGGGAAAGGAAGCAGGGAAATCTGTTGACTTTTTTTACATCTTGTCCACCTCTGTGCTCCCTCCCTTGCTTCCTAGTCACCCACATTCACAACTGCTGCTGGAGTGACATCTCCAGGCTTTACAGCACCACTAGTAATTCCTGCCTCTTTTGTATTCCCATACAAGCAATACTTAGATCCTAATTTCTTAACTGACAAGGCCATACCCAAAGAACAGAAGCATGAGTGTAAAGTTAGCAGATAGGGCCCATTATGAAACTGTACTAAAAATATTGCCATCTCTGCCAGAACTGACAAGAGATACCAATGCATCTTAGAAAACTCAGTATTATGTATTTTTGGCAAGTCATACACTAAAATTCTGTGTCCTATCTAGATATATTTGTCAACAAATAGTTTGGGTTCAATTCTAATCACTACTGGGGAAGGGGATGGCATCTTAGAATCAGAGAATCATAGAATGCCTTGGGTTGGGAGGGATCTGTAAAGGTCATACAGGCCATCTTGATTGCCTAGGCATGCCTAGTCATCCTGATTGCCAAGAAGTAACAGGGCAAGTTCAAAGACCTTTTCAAGTAATTTTGCCTTCACTGAGTTCCAACGCAGTGAAACAACTCCACTGGCACCTCTTCCCCTCCTTTGTCACAATATCAGTCCTTAACTACACAGAACCAAGGGAAATGGAAGTAATTCTTTCTAGCCATGTTAAGAACCATTTCAGTCAGATGACCCTGTAAAAGTCATAGCTGGGTATATGAAAGCAGTAAATCAGAGCTCTCCCTACCATCATCACATAGGGCTTCATTTCCCAAGCATGGATGTTGGTGTTATCAATAACAACCGGGCTTTTCCCATTCTTCATTGCTCTGCGCGCTGCAACGGAACACATGGAGGAGAGCTACAATGCATTCATTCAGTAACAGACTGAGCTGGGTTTCACTACCCCCAAAGCATCCTCTCTTTGCCTGCTGCTTGGCTCCCCACCAGATGGGGGTTTGCAGCTGCCACCCAAAGGCGAGCAGAGCTGAGCACCCACCAGGAGCTCTCCTGGAGGAGGGGATCCAGCTGCTGTCTGTGCTCAGGAGTAAGATCTGAAGGTCTCATCGAACACACTCACTGATATCACAGCACTAGGTATTCACAGGAGCTAAACTGACTGTTAGTTGCAAAAAATCTCTGTTACATGATCTCAAAGTGTTTTCTATTGCTAGAAATTAGTTCAGAGCACAGCCACGAAAGCCTGTTATATTTTCCTCTCTGAAGCTCAGACCTGGGTTGGTTTATTCTCAAACTTACAACTAGGTCTGCAAGTTTTCCTCCTGGCTACCACTAACTGCCCCTGTAGCCCCCAGTTCCCAGTCAGGAGAGACCTCTAAGGAGTTACAGTCTGAAGGATGTGGTGCATACAGCTGCAGCAAGCAGCTGCTGGGCCAGTATTTGCATGCCATCTGCTGCTACCAAGCTTCATCAGTGCCACCTAACAGACACCCTTTTACTTTCACAAATAACATCTATAAATCACTAACTTTTTTTTCATTTATAAATTTCTCTCTTTTAAGTCTGAAGAAATAAAATCAGACGTGGTAAAAGTATTTTTTTTTAACCAGTACCCTGTGAAGTGCAGTGTATGACACCACTTGGAGGTATTTTCTTGGGGGTGCTAATTTGAGACAGACTGAAAAGCAAAACTATTCTGGAAAACCCCTGGATTGAGTTCAGTCACCTCTCTTTTGGTTCCATTTGTGTGCATCCTCTAGGAAGTCAGGCTCAAACACGTACACACCGTTTTCGATAAAGAAATCATCAGTACTAAGAACTACAGCACTGGGATAGTCACGTTTCAGCTGTCTGCAAAAAAAAACACAAATGAAAGAAGGATTAGCATATGCTAACGCATGTCTGTAATAGAAACCATTAAACCAAGGGCCACATGGATGCTCTGCAAATATGCACAGTGCTTCATTTGAAAAACCCCATCTTAAAGGACCTTGAAGTAACGCAACCAGTAGCCAGACACAGGAGGAAAGGCATGGAGCTTAAAGGCATGGCCTCGACATCTTTAGTTCAGCAGAGAAACCCACTCTGTCAGCAGGAGCCTTTAACCATGTTTTCTTCATTTGCCTTCTGAGCTATCTGAGAAGGTATGATTGTAAATACAAGAAAATAAGCAAAACCCAAACATGATAATGTCATGGAAGTTGGTCTCAACAGAAAATTTGACCATGAGAGTTGCGGTACAGAGAGGCTTTTGGAGGAATGATTTGTCATTTAGTAAAGCTGGTCTAGATTACCAGTTTCTCTTGTTATTTTCTTTTACTTTTTTTTTTTTTTTGGCTATAAAGCACATAGCACCTTTTTTTTTTTTAATTTGCACACAAGTATCTGAGTGATTAGTCAATGTTCCTTATTATGTGTTGCAATTTTCTGGTTCCTTTCTGCTTTTCACTTTTCCCTGTTTTACTCAATCCTCTTCCTGTAGAGCTGAGTAATTTTTATTTATCGCCAGCTTTCAAACATGTTTTATAAACAAATCTGTATGGCCTAGATTGGCAGCCCCAAATGCAGCAGATCCATAGAACTGGTCCCCCCTGGTCCATGGCTCAGGGCAATCCCCCTTCTCTTCACGCTGACGTGTGTCCTGCAGCCATGCTCCTTCAGAGCCATGGAGGGTAGGTGGGTGGACACATGTCCTGCACCAAGCTGGGACTGGCTCTAGGAGGTTGTAGTGCCAGCTTATGTGGGGGTTTCAACATGAAGCATTCCTCTGCTAGTCCTCAGACAGCACTGAAAAAAATCTTAATGCAAAATTGTGTTACCCTTGGTGTGTAATCCAGACTTCTTTGTATCCATAGAAAGAGTTGTCTATTTTTTTTTGATCAAGGGAGTGTTGGAGGAGGGAGTCTCTGCAAGAAGTCAGGGAGAGCCCGTGGCATCATCTCACTACTCTTTGTCTCCCTAAGGCCCAAAATATCTCTGGAAAAGGAAGTAAGGCCAATTGAGAAACCTTGAGACTCTCAGACGTGAATGCTGCTGCCCTGCTGTCTCACAGCACACATAGCCTCTAGTCACTCTCTGACTCATTTCAGCTTCCCTGATAAAATGCTTCTCTTCCATCCCCAAAAGCTGTAAAGCAACTATTTGTCAATGTCTTCTCTAACTGAGCAACAGCAATGGAGGAGGTGCCTCCAGGTTATCAGCAAAAAGCAGACGCAGACAGAAAAGGCTTAATTCTGTCACGTCTAGCTCTGCCCTGACCGTTTACTTACCGACTTCACCCTAATCTGCCTGCTAGCGGCACTGATTGCACACTGCATTTCGCTGACAAAGGTCAGCTGCTGACTCTGTTCTGCCTCCACTGTAACTTCCACCATCTGCTGACCAATTAGGAAAATTTTGTGGTAGCAACCACAAAGAGAGCAGAGACTCGCCGCTGACAGCCTGGCCAGAACTGGGCTGCAGCCACCGCTACCTGTTGTTTAGCACCTACATGTCATTACCTTCCAGCTCCAAAGAGAGGTTTTATTCACAGTTACTGCTGGGCAAACAGATCATACACAAGTCCTGTTGCAAACTGTTAGCACCTCACCTTTCCCACTGCTTTGCTCACATGCAACCTCTTCTCTAAAAAACTGACTGTGCTAAAATACGTGTTCTCCCTTCAGCTACTAATAGGCACGCAAAATTGCACACATTAATAAAAGATATTTTTTTTCTTGTTCAGTGTTTCTTTCAAACGTGTTCTCAACCACTGCAAATTAAAAAGAATATGTTCTTAGCATACAGCTTACTAGATTTTTAATATATATGTGCACATTTACATGAGAGTTTTGATATTAACCCTTAAGTAATTTCAATAGTATGTGATTATCTGTAAAGTCAGTCCTATATCTGTAAACTATCCTCATATCACTGGTAAATGCCATAGATAAAATTTGTCCTATAAAGGAGGAAAAATACAACACAAAACATGCTAAGAACTATGAATTACTGTTACATTTGCTATATCCATACCAAACAAACTCCTACTAGCAGTGACATAAGAAAATATTAAGTGGGAAAAAGAAGAGGTTTTACCTTCTGCTTATTTTGCTGGTTTTAACTTTTAGCTTTCGAAAACAACCAAACTGACACTAAAATTTATTACTATTTTCTGTAATCCCTTATTGCTCATAAAGCTGACAAAAATTTTGTTTCTTCTGTCCCTTATAATTTACCAGAGCAACCAAGTCTCTTCAGTATGCTCCTTGTGAAATAAGCCTTCCACCATCTACACAGGACCAGAGGCTGGTTTAGAACAAAGGTTTCACATAGGCTCCTGATCCCTGCACACAATGAAAATGCCTGTATTTTAACATAACACACACCCTCTGTGCAAAACCACAGGATCATAGACTGTTTGGGGTTGAAAGGGACCTTTAAAGGTTACCTAGTCCAACCCCATGGGAGGGGGGAGGACAAAATAGGAGGACTTGTGACCAGTGTTAGTAATGAATGAATTTTGAGCAGCACTGTAAGAAGAAAATTACCTGTTGCTGTTAGATCAGTAAGTGTAAAGCATACTCAGGAGGAAAATAAAAATGAAATCTCTCTGCAAGACCAAAAGGTACACATGAGGCACGTTTGCTTTTCTGAAAAAGCACTGCATTGTGATAAGCAGCATCTGCCAAAGGTTCAGTATTGATTTGCCTGCGTGGGACATTTAATTGCACGGTGTTACAGCTCTGCCCTGCAGCAGACACAAAATACAGTATGCTCTGTATCTTGCTGGAGGAAAGTTTTCCCCCTCCTTCTGCAAGTCAAAGCAGATTCCCACGCCAGGTGCCGTATCTCATTAGATTGGCTGGTACAGTTCAGGTGCTTCTGCTCTGACATGCCAGCAGCAAACTTCACCTATCCTCCAGCAGGCCTGGAACCAGGCCTCAGACAGATGAGGCTGTGCAGAGGCTGCTGTGATTAAAAAAGCAGAATCTTTCTGTTGCAGATACAGCCGAGCCCTGTTTGACCACAGCAGCACTGTAACAACTGCCTTCCTGAACAGACAGGTAGCTTTAGAGTTTCCTGTGTTACTCATCTGCAGATCTGTTCCCATGATTTATACCAATTTTAAGTCCCCTTTTTCCTGAATAACATCTTCAGTTCTTTCAAACAATCATTTCAGACTTTAACTGTATATATAGACAAAATATAATTTTTCAGGATTTCAACTAGCTGGATGCATTGGAGTAGTTGGGAGAAGTCTCCAGGATCACCAGTAATAGGATTGGAGATTTTAAAAACTAATCCATAACTATTTCATAGGTTGTCACATGTTCTCATCAGAAAACCTGAAAATGTTATCTCTGATTTGAGCCTGGTAAGCAGATTGGAAGGAACATTTTTCCATGCTCAGAAGGCAACAAAACGGTACAGCAGGCAGACCTCAGAGACGGTAAATTCCCAGTCTACTTTCAGTGTCAGGGAGGTCGGGACATCTCTGTACTGAGTTCACATACAGCCACTTGCCGAGTCACTCCTCCTAACACACGGCGTTCCCATGGCGTTTGAAAGCCTCATTTCATCAGAAAACCAGAGCTACGAGACCTGGAGCGCATGCCCAGCACTACCAGCGCTCTGAAGTGTTTTGACGGCGCCCTGTGCCCCGAGGACTCTGCCCCGCGGGTGCCAGTGAGGGCTGTGCCGTTGGCAGAGCGCAACCTTCGTGTCCGAGCCGCGGGGCGGGAGCAGCCGCCGGACTCTGCAGAGCGACAGGCTGCCTGTTGGGTTGCACAGAGGCGTTCACGACAGTCCCCGGGAGCGGCTTTAGCCAAAGGTAAATGTTTACAGTGCGCTGCCACCTGGACAACTTCAGCGCTGAAGTCCGTGGAGCCCGTCAGAGCTGCAGTTCTGCAGGGGGTGGGGTGCTGGTGACACTGGCGGGGCTGGAGGCTGGAGCAGCAGGAGGCAGAGCTGCACCCAGCAGTGCCGCCTCGGTGCCAGTGCGCTCTCTACTTCCCGGTCTGCAAGCCTGCTCCCTCCGAGTCTCATGAGGAAGCACAACAATGACCTCATTTCGAGTGGTAGATCAACAGCAGTGGATGAGAAGTGACACGTTTGATCACACCCGGCCCAGTGCCTGAGCAAAACTGCTAGACTGAGGATTACACGTTACCTGAGCTGTGCATCACAGCACCGTGTGGTGGAAGGGCTGCAAACAGAGACACTCTGTGCAATAAGGAGTCTGTCAGGGAAGCGGGTATGAGCTTATATGTGTTTCACTTCATTTTTCAGACACATTTTTGGAAGCTATACCTGCTTCCTCAGGTAACTCTTTTCTTAGCAGGTGCCCAGCTCTGATCATGAAATCTGCACTCTGAAGTCAGAGGGAATGTGTTCAGGAGGATGATGTTGCACACACCTGACAGAGACTATTGGAAACACAACGCCCACCTGCCCCCCTTGTCTGTGTGCTTCTGCTGGTGGTGGCACACGGTGGGCAGCGAGAGGGAGATGGTTAGGGTCACCCAAAGTAAGTGGTTCAGGGAAGTGTACTGTTAACGATGAAACAACTGGAAAGATTTGTAGCTTGGTGGCGAGCAGACTGACTCCTTGTTCTGCCTTGACTATTCAATGTATCACAGGTGGATCCTTCACTGTCTTTACCAGAGTCTGAAAACCAGACCTGGAACAAGTACCAATGCTGGCTGCTCTGAACTGAGGGAGTGACAGGAATGGGGTAATCCTTTTAAGGAAGATGCCATAACTAAATCTTGCAAAGCTATATCCAAAGGGTGCTGCCTGACACTGAAAGGTCAGGGAAACGACTCATGGATCTAAGGTTGTTCCTAGGATTGTGTAACTGATAACATTCACCGTTCCTTACACTTCTAAGCATCGTAAAGATTGACAAGTTTTAACCAAAATAGTCGCCAATACAAAGAATGAATAAAAAGTGGGTTCGAAAGCACCAGGAGAAACAATGGAGCAAAGGCTAAAACAATGGTACACACTGACAATTGAGAACACTGTTAACAGCAATAAAACTGGGAAGGGCACTGTTCACACACCCCCTAAGGGCCCAGCACAGATGGCTTGCTGCTGGAAGACCCACAGTCTGAGAGCAGGAGGATGGCCAGCAAGTCACACCAGCCCATACACACCTTCCTTCATGCTGAAAAGACACACCAAGGGAGAAAGTGAAAATAAAGGGGAAAAAAACCTCTGCCTAAGATTCATGGAGCCCTGAGTAAGCAAAATTCGGAGGCAAAAAGATGGCAGCATAGAAAGTGCTGGGTACAAGACAGCGTAACAGACCTGACCAAAACCCACCCTGTCACCATCCATTGAGAGGAACCCAGAAGAGAAAGCTAGGATGGGACAGCTGAATGTCCTTGTCCTCTCTGATTTTGTGTAGGCCTGCTGTGCTTGCAAGTATTTAACTTTGATAGTGTGGGTGAACAAAACCTGAGAGAAAAAATTTGAATGGGTAAAATTGGTTTACCAAGGGCTTTTGCAAATAATCACCTTCCTCTTCCAGTCAGATCTGGCATTGAGCTTTGTTGCAGTAATTTTCTGCAAACACCACTTTGCTTAACACATTGTATTTACCAATACCAAAAGGTGCAGAACGTGGGAATAGCAAATCTCAGTATTTTCTTGGCACCATCCTTTCATAATCTGGACAAAGTTAATGAAGAGGTACTAAATGCCATTTCTACAGATACCCTTTGCTCTGTGTACTGTTGAATGGCTAAATGTAATGATACAATTAACAGGAGTTAGAAACAGTAAGCTCCTCAAACATTCATCTGATGAGGGACTATGCCCATACTTAGCACTGATTTTGTAAATCTGTCATTGATAATTAATCTTGTGTTTTAACCCAAAAAAAAAAACCAGGTAAGTCAGTTATTTGCACTGCCCAAGAATATGGCCACAAATCATCACATTCTTACTGTACTACAGTAAGACTCAAACCCCTCTAAAGGAGAAGGGCTGAGAAGGGCCTGCATTTATGCAGCCTCCTTAGGACATGTATTTTGGGTGTCAGTAAAAACACAGCATTTGACTTGTTCATTAAAGAATCCGGTCTTGCAGAAGTCCTGTGAGGCAGAAAGCACCGACTCACAGGAAGGGCTGTACTGAAAAGAGGAAACTGTAGATGAATCCTGTCTGTCCCACAGCTTCATGTTCTGAGGCAGACGGGGTTCCTCACCCCAGAATGGGAACCTGCGTGATTAGACAGCAAGCGTTCCTCTTTCCACGCAGACTGGGTGGCACTGGGAGCTCCCAGATACCAGATGACAGATACACGGCCTCACCTCAGTGCAGTCTCACAGCACTCCCCTCGGGGTTTTTCCACTTATCTTTAAGGTGCCTTGGATCTGTCAGCGTGGGACGGTCTCTTCTGCCCAATTTTTCAGCTCTACAGCTCTGAGTAGGAACGCAGGACACAGTAACAGCAGACTGGTCCATTTTTCACAGGGCGAGGAAGCGCTTTAATGTGTATTAACCACAAAAAGAGAGCACCAGGCTGGTGCTTTTTAGAGAAGAAACAACAACTACCTCATCTTGAGCGAATAATCCGTCTCGTCCTAGAAACACCCCTCTCGGTATTGCTCCTCAGAGGCAAAATGGCCCCGGCCCCGCCGCCTTACCTGGCCAGGGTGCTCTTCCCGGCTCCGGGCAGCCCCCGCAG